AACTCCACCACCATCGTCATCATCATCATCAGTCAGCGGGCCCTTAACAGAACTTGGCTCTCGTAATTGCAAGTCTGAAAGCAGTGCTCACTACAAGAAGGCTAGTAAACCAACATCGAACTGGGGCAAGTAGTGCTCACTGCAAGAAGACTGGTGAACCAACATCGAACCAGGGCAAGCAGTGCTTACTACAAAAAGCCTGGTGAGCCAACATCGAACCGGGGCAAGCAATGCTCCCTACAAGAAGAATATCAACGGTACATTTTTAGACGGCCCCATCTGGTCGGCGTCGAGATTTGGTAGGGAAATCCCCAAAAAATCCCACCTCCCACATTATATGGGACTGTTTAGGAAAATCCATAGGAATTCCCTACGAAATCTCGAAGCCTATGAGACAGGGTCGTCTAAAATTAAAGTACCATATTAAGTTTAGAGGGAGTCGCCGTGGATCGGAATGTCGTGGGTTCGCTCCCTGTCGGTGCCTGATTTTTTTTTAAAAGTGAACTTGGCTCCCAGGATGACCCAGCCTTATGTGGGTACCGGGTGCAGTCCCGGGAAGTAGAGGCGGCTGGCGTGATGCTGAAAACGTCTCTAATCTTGTGCCTATTGGTCTGTAAAATATAGGTCTAGCCCTATATGCCCTATACACCTAAAGGCGTGGAAGAGAGTTGTTTAAAATGATATGTTTTTTTGAACTTCTAACATTGATAAATTATAATAGGTTCTTCAGCAGGACTAACACAAATGATCAAACCCCTGGCAGGGCTTATAAATTAGAAAGGTTCCTCAGGTCTTAGTTAACTGGCAACCACCATCGTCATCATCATCATCATCAGTCAGCGAGCCCTTTACAGAACGTCGCTCTCGTAATTGCACGTCTGAAAGCAGTGCTCACTACAAGAAGGCTGGTGAACAAACATCGAACCGGGACAAGCAATGCTCACTAAAATTAGTTTGGTGAGCCAACACCGAACTTGGGTGATCAGTGTACACTACAAGAAGGCTGGTGAGCCAACATCAAACCGGGGCAAGCAGTGTTTACTGCAAGAAGATTGTGAGCCAACATCGAACCGGGGCAAGCAGTGCTCACTACAAGAAGACTGGTGAACCAACATCGAACCGGGGCAAGCAGTGCTCACTACAAGAATATCAACGGAACTTTTTTTTTTAGACGGCCCCATCTGGTCGGCATCGAGATTTGGTAGGGATATCCCCAGAAAATCCAACATTACATGAGCGGTTTGTGTTAGTAGGAGTCGTTATTTTTTCAGCACTCGCTTTAACATCCCCCTTTCCCTACAATATGGGACTGCCAGAAAACTCCATTGGCATTCTCTACGAAAAGTCGAAGCCGATGACATATCGTCGTCTAAAATCAAAGTACCATAATAAGTTTAGAGGTAGTTGTCGGGGCTGAGCGGCTAGACGCACGCCGTGGATCAGAAGTTTGTCGGCTAGCTCCGTGGCGGAACAGGACTTTTTTCAAAAATGACCTTGACTGCCTGGTCGACCCAGCTTTGAGTGGGCACTGGGTGCAGTCTAGGGAAGTAGAGACGACCGGTGTGATGCTGACCACATCACCCATCTTTTGCCGATCGGTCTATAAAATATAGGTCTAGCCCTATACGCATAAAGGCGAGGAAAAGAGTCCTTTATTAAGTTTAGAATGCATTGCTGTTTGTGCTTCTAATATTGATAAATTATAATAGGTTCTCCAGCAGGACTAACAAAAATGATCAAACCCGTGGTAGGATTTCACAAACAAAAAGGGTCCTCAGGTCTTAGCTAACTGACCACCACCATCGTAATCATCATCATCAGTCAGCAGGCCCTCTACAGAACGTCGACCTCGTAACTGCAAGTCTGAAAGCAGTGCTCACTACAAGAAGAATGAAATCAACGGTTCATTTTTAGACGGCCCCAGGAAAATCCCCAGAAAATCCAATATTGCAGGGGCAGTTAGGGTTAATAGTAGTCGTTATCTATTTAAGACTCGCACAATTACCCCACTCCCACCCCCACCCCACACATTATGTGGGACTGTCTATGAAAATCCATTGGAATTCCCTACGAAATCTCGAAGCCGATGAGACAGGGTCGTCTAAAATTAAAGCACCATAATAAGTTTATAGGGAGTCGCCGTGGATCGGAAGGTCGTGGGTTCGCTCCCTTGCGAAGCCGGATTTAGAAAAAAATTACCTTGGCTCCCTGGTTGACCCAGCCTTGGGTGGTTCCCTAGTGAAGTCATGGGAAGTAAAGGCGGCCGGCGTGATGCTGAAAACATCACCAATCGTGTGCCGATTTGTCTATAAAATATAGGTCTAGCCCTATATGCCTTATATGCTCCATACGCCTAAAGGCGTTGAAGAGGGTTCTTTATTTGGTTTAGAATGCAATGTTTTTTTAACTTCTAACATTGATAAATTATAATAGGTTCTTTATCATTGCAAATGATCAAACCCCTGGCAGGGCTGAGAAAATAGAAAGGGTCCTCCGGTCTTAGCTAACTGGCCACCACCATCGTCATCATCATCATCAATCAGCGGGCCCTTTACAGAACGTCGCTCTCGTAATTGTAAGTCTGAAAGCAGTGCTCACTAGGCTAGTAAACCAACATCGAACTGGGGCGAGCAGTGTTCATTTCAAGAAGGCTGGTGAACAAACATCGAACCGTGACAAGCAATCCTCACTAAAATAAGTCTGGTGAGCCAACACCGAACTTGGGTGATCAGTGTACACTACAAGAAGACTGGTGAGCCACAGAAAGACAACTATAAGACCACTATGGTCACACGCGAAACTGGAGCGAGCAGTGCTTAATACCACACAAAAAAAAAAAAAAATGGTGAACCAATATCGAACCGGGGCAAGCAGTGCTCACTACAAGAAAGCTGGTGAGCCAACATCGAACTTGGGTGATCAGTGCTTACTACAAGAAGGCTCTTGAGCCAACACCGAACTTGGGTGATCAGTGCTCACTACAAGAAGGCTGGTAAACCAACACCGAACTTGGGTGATCAGTGCTCACTACAAGAAGGCTGGTAAACCAACACCGAACTTGGGTGATCAGTGCTCACTACAAGAAGGCTGGTAAACCAACACCGAACTTGGGTGATCAGTGCTCACTACAAGAAGGCTGGTAAACCAACACCGAACTTGGGTGATCAGTGCTCACTACAAGAAGGCTGGTAAACCAACACCGAACTTGGGTGATCAGTGCTCACTACAAGAAGGCTGGTAAACCAACACCGAACTTGGGTGATCAGTGCTCACTACAAGAAGGCTGGTAAACCAACACCGAACTTGGGTGATCAGTGCTCACTACAAGAAGGCTGGTGAACCAACATCGAACAGGGACAAGCAGTGCTCATTAAAATGAGGTTGGTGAGCCAACACCGAACTTGGGTGATCAGTGTTCACTACAAGAAGACTGGTGAACCAACACCGAACTTGGGTGATCAGTGCTCACTACAAGAAGGCTGGTAAACCAACACCGAACTTGGGTGATCAGTGCTCAGTACAAGAAGGCTGGTAAACCAACACCGAACTTGGGTGATCAGTGTTCACTACAAGAAGGCTGGTGAACCAACATCGAACAGGGACAAGCAGTGCTCATTAAAATAAGGTTGGTGAGCCAACACCGAACTTGGGTGATCAGTGTTCACTTCACGCGGTCGTGAGAACGACATACTGTAAAAGTGTGTGCGTGTGTGTAAAGTAGGTCAAATCAACACAGTACTACGATACAATGCAACCACATACACGTAATGAAAAAAAAATTACACTGGAGGGGATGGTTAAAGGCAAGGCAATAGAAGGTGTTAATAATAATTATTAGTTAATCATAAGATTACACTCTTTGCATAGGGGGCAAGTCCATTAGCGCTCTGATGTCATCTTCAGTATATCCCTGGCGTGTGGCGACTGATAACACCAGCTCTGTGTTGGTTTACTATTCTTCTTTGGCTACCTGTATCGTGTTTATGATTGGTGACACCTCTTTTGACCTGTCTTTATAGTGTCTGGAGTGTTGCCGAATCAATGTCGTCTCCTGAATCATTTTCTCCTCCTGCCTCCTTGAGAGCATGTGAATGTCGGCTCGGTCCATTGCTTTTCCTGTCCCTACCGTGGCCTTGCCAGCAAGCCAATCAGTTCGTTTATTCCCGCTTACCCTGCCCTAGTGTGTCTTGGCACAAAAAATGAAACTAATTCCTTTCAGACGAGATTTCAACAGCGACTCAAACCATTCTCTTCGAATCCATCCTGTCTCTATCTCTTCTATGAATAGAAGGTGTACAACGATGCAAATAGGAAAATAACACAAAGAGTTGGATGAATAATTTTCTCAGAGAGGGCGAAACCAGGATGAAAGAGTGTTTGAGATCTATGTTAGCCTACAAGTTGGATGTGGTCCAGGCCCTTCAATAGAATGAGAGAGAGAGAGAGAGAGAGAGAGAGAGAGAGAGAGAGAGAGAGAGAGACAGACAGAGAGAGAGAATGAAGAAATTTTATTTTCACATATTGGGAACGCGGACCCATCTCATACACTGAAGATAGATAGATAGATAGATAGATAGATAGATAGATAGATAGATAGATAGATAGATAGATAGATAGATAGATAGATAGATAGATAGATAGATAGATAGATAGAGAGAGAGAGAGAGAGAGAGACAGACAGACAGACACACAGACAGAGAGAACAATATGTAGGCACAAACAGATCAGCGGAGTCTGAAGAAAAAGGTGGGAAAAGACGGTGGCGGGTTGCTTTTAAGAATACTCTAAGTGCTGTGATGTCGTTCTTAACTCAACTCAAAATACAGCCAACCTTCAACGTGGAGACGGCATCTAAATTATTTTTATAACTGCGAATTATTTCGTAGAAGAGCAAGTATCATTTTAAAACACGTGTTTCCGGGAACTGATTTTCATTCTTGATTTGAGTGTCTGGGGAAACGTGATTTTTGCGTGAATTTTACTGCTTCAACTTCGTAAAAATGTGTGACCTCGACAGGTCCAAGGTAATTCTGTTAGAAATTATTGTTGAAATCATACTGGTGACAAATTAAATAGAACAAGTTGTTGTCTTTGTACTTCGATTAAATGATCCAAATAATTTGCATGCATGCTTGCTTCAGCTTTGCTTGGGTTTTTGATTTGCGAACGATCGTGACATCACACTTAGAAGACTCACTCATTCTTAGGATTTCGGTCACAGGCATAAGTTAAGGCCAAGGGAGGCTAATGTGATAAGTGTGCTATTATTAACAGTGTTATAAAGGGATTTAAACTACTTCACCACTTCAGTCGCCAGCCGATCATCCTGTGCTGTTTGTACCTCATAAAAGAAAATATAAAAATGCCCTGCAAGGGGCTGGAACCTGCTGTGTGGGCTTAGAAACAGCATTCCTGAGCGCCCCCCTCCCCCTTCGGAAGGGCCTTCTAGTTAATTTGGTATGGGTTTGGAGTTTGGCTGAGGACCACATTCCACGCTGTAGACATTATGCAAGACATCTTAGTGCTTTATCCCCCAACCATATATCAATATGCCAAAATAGTTTCCTTTTTTTATCAGCAATAAGGGTCCCAAATTATTATCGAGGCCGAAAATATACTCAGGGCCTCAGTCACATGTCAGTTCCGGACTACCGCTGAGAGTATCTCCCACACTGCTATGCGCGGCATGGATTGGGGCTAAACTAGATGGCTGGGACTCACAAGCAAATAAAATGAAGGAAGCTGCATGAGATGCGGTAGCTGCTGCTCGTGAGTCCCAGCCATTTTGTTTAGCCCCAATCCATGCCGCGCGTAGCGGCGTGGGAAATACTCTCTGTGGTGGCGGAAGTGCGTAATTTAAGTCGCCGGAAGTCTGCAATTGACACTTGACTGAGGCCCTGTTAGGGTATATTTTCGGCCTCGATAATTTGGAACCGTTATTCAGAATATAGCCAACAATTAATAGTTCATACACTATACAGTCTATATCAAAATATAGTTTTGTTTATGTTACATGAAATGTATGATACTACATTTCATATTTATAAATCATTTTCTTTCAAAACTTTTCCATTCAGCCCAATCATAATTATAGATATTTCTCATTAAAACAAGACTTAGGTTCCCCTTTCCCACGATTTTGTGTCAGCATCCCTGAAGCTCTGATCGTGAGTTCTATTTCTATTCAGATGTGCATGCCTGTCGTCTGTCAAGAAACTGAATTCAGTAAATTTTCATTTAAATGCAGCAATTTCAGTTTATTTCTCCCATCTAGATAAAGGTAAAATCAGAAGCTGTGAACCAGCGTCACTGCACACCATTATAAACCATAAGCGCTCTGCCACCAGTACGATGGACAGCTGATAAGAAACTGTCCTTGTATATCGTCGTCCGCACGCAACTCTATAGCTACAGTGATGTTCCTCCATTTACCCCAAGAGTGTACCCATTACCTAGAGGCTGGGTGAACCACAGGAACCGCCTGGTTTTGAACAACGGCCGTGGGCTGCAGCGAGTCACAGCTGGGTTTGAAAGCAAGTCTCCTATTGACTGCGCTAAGGCGGCTCCATGTTCCATCTAGATTCCTATTGGATGGTGAAAAGGTTCAGATGTCACCAAACCAAGATGGTGACCACCTCAGAGATCATATTCGTCAAGAGTATCAAGGACTATTAGAAAAGATCTCATGCATGCGTTAGAAAAAAAATTCACTGATCCCATATATTGCCTCCAGAAAGCAATGGCAAACTACTGGACGTAAATTTGCCTAGAAAATTCACACAACAGCCAGGGGCCGTTGGGGTTGGTTCTGCAGCGTCCTGTAAAATATACGCAAATAACCATATATTGCCACATTGAACACAGTGAGGCGTCTATTTGGAAAAGACTTGAAAGAGGAATAAAGTTGGATATTTTTCCTTAGGTCATTCATGACTCTCCTTTCCCTCTGTCTGCTGGTGAGCTGTTTTTATTTAAGTGTCTTGAGGCATTCTGCAAACATGTCCATCTCCATCTTCCTTTGTTTTCTAGTGATAACAATGTATGTTTTCCATACTCCAGAATATTTGCAGGATTGTTCTTTGATATTTATTATCAAACGTCACTAGTGTACGAGTAATAATATCACTAATATCGCTGCCATTTTCCAATACTCACTGTTATTTAGTAATGTTTTTAGAATGTTGCTGTTATAGGAATTTGCCTTCAGATGAAGATTCTTCGACGTCAGTAAATTGTTGAACACTCATAAATTCTTACAATTCGAAGAATTCTGTCAAAAATCCTGTTGTCTTGTAAATGTCTAAAATCTGTTCTACCAATATATCCCCCCCCCCCCCCCCCCCAATTAGGTGTTGGTAGCGGTTGGAGCCCTGGTTCAGTTGGGTGCTGAAAAGAAGGAGAGCATTATTCCTGATGCTGAGTATGTACACCTACAAATCGTCCTCAAAAAGATTCCACAGAAAGATGTTACCCTTAAACTGTGAGTATGATTTTTGGCATTCCTTTGAACTGCGACCCTAGGGGGAAGCAATCTGTTGTAACTTGATATTAACTACCGCTAAAACCTTCCTGAAGAAAAAGTGTTGGCTATATCGGGACATATAATATATCAAATTAAAGATAAATAAATGAGTGTAGAATAAATATATATCAGCTAGTCTTTATTTAAAACATATAATTTGAATACTTTTGATATGACCATTTTTGTATGACATGTCAGATTTCACAGCTAAAAATCGGGAAAACAGCTGATCGAAATAGATGATCCGATTTAAAAATTTTGTATAATTTTCATATCCTGAACTAAATTGCCAGTAGGTTTGTCACTTAGACATCAATCATAATATCAAGACTACTGTCACCATCCGGCAGAGATTTGTCAGGGCAGTATGAACAGTTCTAGACCGTTTCCCTTTTTCATAGTACAGAAATATCACGTAAAAATGGTGTCACATTAAAAAAATTTCTTAAAAAATCAGAAAGTGCAAAAGCCACGCAGTACATCGCAAACGAAATGACTTCCTGTTAATCCCAATTTTTCAGAAACTTGTTCATAAAAGTTTTCCCCAAAGACGGAACAAAATTAGAGTCTCTATGATACGCCAGTGTGCTGGTGACTAGTTCAATAGGGATAAATTCATACGCCAGTTTACTGGTGAAAAGTCATTCAAGAGATAAGATCACCGAAAAAAAAAGTAAATACGTCTCCCTAGGGTCATTATACCAAGGAGTGCTTAATTTTTTTTCTATATCTGAATGATTCCTATGCTATGTTGGTTCTGATGTCTCAATTTAATTTGGAGGGGGGCCCGTCTCTCTAGCGTAGTTGGCTAAACCTGATTGCGCGGTGAACGGGTGACAAACTCATTGTGGTCCTGGTTCGCTCCCAGGGGTGGGCAGAAAAGCCACATTTCTCCCAGATTTATACGTCGTTCCGTCGTCCTGAAATTCGAGCTTCCGGCGACTTCCGCCGCCGCAGAGCTGCGAACTTTTAGCAACCTCCGCCACAGCCGAGAGTGCTCCCCACGCCGCGTGAGCGTGAACCTTTGTTTTATTTGCTCATGAGTTCTAGCCATCTAGTTTAGTTCCAATCCACTCTTGGCTGTGGTGGAAGGCGCCGGAAGTACGCAATTGACACGGGACTGAGGCCCTGTTAGGGATTATTTTCTGCGTAGATAATTTAGGTCCGTTATTCGGAAGATAGCCCTAAACATCAGCATCTGACTTTAGTAAATTTCTTCTTGTTTTACTTTTACATACAAAAGGGTGGTATGTTTTTTGCTGTGGTCTACTGCTAGGTGCAACTTTTGATCTAACACATCCTGTTTCAGCAGTCCTTATTTGTCCCCTTTTGTGACATGCTTATTAAGGAGCAGTAGATCTGGGTTTTTCCCTCCCAAAAACTAGGCCTAGGATCCACAGGGATCCTCTTAATTTTATGTTTGAGAAAGGCCCGCAACATTTTACTAGTTATCTCTGTGTCATGAAGATGATTTAGAGAATGAAACCATGTTTCAGCATATCATAACTGTTATATAATTTAAGTTGTTGAAGATGTTAGATATTTATTGACTTGGTTTAACAATGTGCACATAAACATAGTTCAAAGACATTTCTCAAGCTTTTGTTTGTTTTCTTTTACCAAGGAAGCTGCCACATTCCATCCGGCCCGTCACCTCAGAGGTCTGCCTGTTTGTCAAAGATTTGGATAAGTTTGATCGGGAATATGAGTCAACCATCCATCACTTCAAGGATTTATTTAGCAAGAAAGGGATCAGCTCCATAACAGAAGTAAGACTGCCTAATATTTCTGATAATTTATTCATATAGTTCTTCAGAGTACCCCTACCATAAATTGTGGCGTGGAAGTTGGCCTCAGAATGTTTAACTCAAAATTGATAAATTAAGTTAGGCTACTAGTTGTACAGTATATGATTACTTGTGCCTATACTACATAAGGTCATATCACTTATATTGAAATTATTAACCATTATAGAATACCGAATTTGTGTTACTGTGTTATAGTTTTATACTAACTTTTGTGTCAGATTTGTTCAGAAGTTTTCAATGGAATATTTTCTTACATGTTTACAATTTGGGGGTAAAAGTTTTTATTTTCACCTGAAATATGTGAGCCCTCTTGTTTTAGAAAGTGTTAAAGTCATGAAGAATCGACTTATACGCTGCAATTTATGGTAATTGCCAGTTGAGAATACAGAAAATTTGATGAAGATTGAAGGTTCCCTCATCTCCAGACGATCAGGTTTGCTAATGTGGCAGTATGCTGCTCACTCTGCTGTAGTGTTTCCTAAAATTCAGTGGTCAAATAATCTCATTTGTAAAGTTGTGAACATTTCCAGATGGGGGCTGTCAGTGTATATAACTCACCTACAGTGTGAGGAACAGTCAGTATGTTGTTTACCTGTCTTTATAATACTAAAGGGTTGCCACCTTATTTTTGCGACTTGCATCCATTTTATGAGGTTTAAAAGTAATGTTGAGAGGATCGACTTACCTGCACTGGGTTATCCTACATAACTCGCTCTCTCTCCACAGAACATCTTTTCTAGGGCTGAGCCAGTCTGATGGGGGGGGGGGAGAATCAGTTATTAAATCCATCCCTTCCCTTCTGAGTCTTCACCGGCTAGTTCTGGCAGAAAGTTATAGCTATTCTTCCACTTCTGGTCTTAGAACATATTTTGTGTGCAGATGTTTTACACATCTGGCTTATTTGTGTGCATATTATTGGGTCCCTGCCTCTCTGCAACTTCAAAGGGAACAGAAACGCCTAAAAAAAAAGTTAACGGTCTGCAAACAGATAAGCCAGTTAAGGAACAGAGTCCATAAGTGGATGTACAGCGGGAACTTTCCAGAGACTTGGGTATATACACAACAACCAGTACCATATAACAAAAGCTGATATATATACTTCTAGTGTGGGGAAAAGTCAGTAAGTAAGGCACTAATGCTTGTTTAAAAAAAAAAAACTACAGACAATTACTTGAAAACCGTTTTTACACTTACTGTCCCTTTATTTTTCAGCATAATATTCACCAACATTGATGCACGTGTCCCATTGTTGTATCAGTCCTCCCAAATATGCTGCATAGAAGTCCATGCTCTATTTTCTAAACCACATTTTCACTTCACATTCAACTTCTGTGTCATTCGCAAAATGTCTCCCACCAAGGTTTTCAGTGGACCAGAAAGGTGGAAATCACTAGGGTCTAAGTCGGTGCTGTGAGCTGAATGTTCCAGAAGTTTCCACCATAGATGGTTAATTTTCTCTTGAGTTAACCGAGCCGTACGTGGTCTGGCATTGTCATGAAGGAGCAGTAATCTTCTAGTCAGCAGGCCTGGACATTTTCTTCGAATTGCATCATGAAGCATCGATAGAACTTTACAGGATAAATACAAGGTCTAACAGTTGAAGATATGACCTGTATTTTATTTAAAGAAAGCTCCTTGTGCATCAATACAGCAAGTGGCACGATGAAACAAACACTGGAACGATCTCTGTAGTTCTTCTGTTGTTATGACCCTTAAAGTCGATGTTATGGCTCTTTGGGTGTCATCAAAATTGTTAAAAAAAAAGCCTCCTTTCAATCGAAACTTTAATTTTGGAAATAGAAAATAATCACAGGGAGACCAGTTTGGAAAATAGGATGGAAAACTGAGAACACACACTTGTTTTTGGCCTTAAATTCTTGTTTTGATGATGTCTCTTGGGTCATCAAACAACAGTGGTACAAACCTGCAAGCAACTTTTTTCTTGCTAAAATCTTGCACTAAAATGTTATGAATGGTCTCTCTCTTACCACCAGATTCATCTGCCATCATCCTCACAGTAAAACTAATCTCCTTGTATCCGTTCTCTGACTTTTGCAATGAGTTCATCATTCCAACAGAAATTTGGCATCCAGGTCTAGGTGCATTAGTAATCATTTCTGCACCACTTTTGAATCGTGAATACCACCTAAAAATTTGTGCGTGAGATAATCCCCATAAACTTGTTAAATCAGTTGAACTTTTTTAATGGCACTTTGAGTTTTAAAAAGAATTTAATGTTAGCTTTTTGCTCCGTGCTTATTACGTAACAATGCATCTCTGACTAGGTCAACAAAATGGCGGCTTGTTTGTTGTCTGCTTATTGAGCGGTGATGAAAAGTTGCCAGATAATATATGAATGTTGTCTCTTTAGATTCCATGCTTCGCTTTATATATGGCATTTTTGTCTTGGCCATAATAAAATCACTTAATTGTCGGACCTTGTATTTTGTCAGCATAAACAGGAAGCATTTTCTTATGAATGTCCTTTACGGGAAGCCATTTTGTCCCGCAAAAAACGCAGCACATTGTTCTTTGAGGGTACATTCACCTTTTTGTTTCTATGTTGCGGATGCGCATGCAACACACAGAGCTACCTAATGAACAGAGAGTCATAATGTTGGATATTGCTGTCACCTAACAACACCTTTAGAAACCACCAACCACCAATTTTCCCGCCATGCCATAACCATTTATGACTTACTTATTGACTTCCCCCCATATAATCCATGTTGTATGTCACTGGTAGTCAACTTTATCCGCAGCCTTCAATTTCATGTATTTTCGATCATTTATGACATCCTGCCATGATGTCATAGCGTCAGAAAGAAAGATTGTCTAGTATATCTATATATATAAAAATCAATGTTTGTGTGTTTGTTTGGTCTCTATAGACTCGGAAACTACTGAACCGATTTAGCTGAAATTTTCAGGATATTTTTGTTGTGATACCGGATTTTGGACCGTCGTGGTTTGAAATTCAACCTGTCACTGTTAGAGATAGGTGACCACAATTTATGCAAAAATATACGCAACTAATATTTATAACTTTAGTGATTTCTAATTATAGCCATGTTAGTAATTGCGCATGCACCGTATTTACCATTCGCCAGCGAGTTACCTGCAGCCAACGCCTTCTCTAATACTAATACATAGAGTAGGTCGTGGTACAGCAAACAAGACTATCTCTATATTTGTCACAATAACCATATTAAACACGATTTCTATTTTTTTTTTTTTTCAAACAACCTTTGATGGGGGGAAGGGGGCAATCGAGGACTATCTGGACGTCGGCGCAGAGTGACTGCGACATTAACTTCATTAACCGTGTTAGACACGTGCGATTTCTATTTCATTAATATATCTGGAGTATCTGTCTACGAGAAAACAATTGCCTGCGGTTTTGAATTGTGTTTTAATCGCGACACAGTGGTAGGGACACATATGTCTAATAGTTGTGTTCTCTTTTCGTTGTTCCGATTAAGTGGCTGCTTGGTCGAATTGTTAGAACACTGGGTTCAAGTGTAGCCATCGACAATACTAAAGTTTGGCTATGGTTCAAGTGCGGTAGACCTGGGTTCGAATCCGCAGTAGTTAAATTTTTTTTTTTAACCCGGACTAAAATAACATCCTCATCTGCTCTGTCGTAGTACAAGCACTAGCCATGTTGCCTTAATATTTAAAAAAAACAAAAAATGGGTAAACCATTTGATAATTAAATTTGACCATTTCGCATACTTATGATTGCATTGTTAAACTTTTCTAATTGCATGGTTACGCTGAAATTTTATAGATTTTCATTTATTTTCATTTAGATTTAGTTATTTCAGCTGTGTTGGAATTTTAAGCTGTGCTGTTTACAATGGCGTTCATTTCCTAATTATGGTGGTTTTTTTCTGTGTTCATTTGCTTTTCAAGTGTTTTTTTTTTTCTCCTAACTACTTCAATGTGGGAAAGAGTTGTCGGTGAATTTGGGGGGAGGGGGGGGGGGGGCAAATTAACTGAGAGAGCTTTAAGTCACAGTAACTGCTTTACCCACTTAAAGTAGCAGCAGCAGTAATAGTTGTGGTTGGGCTGTTACACCAAAGTGCTCTCATGTCAAGACCGCCGGTAAGGTTATGGCGTTCTTCTGTCGGCAAGTGAAATTATACATCCTAACCTGACCAGTCTGTGGCGACAGCACTAGCCATGCGGAACCAAATCTTCTGGCTCACGACTCTCTGTCTACTCCGATGGTAACACAGATAGCAGTGACATTATTTTAGCAGTTGTACTGGTACTTGAAGGATGATGTGGTAAATATTTCACTAGCCCTATTCACTACCTTTTACAATTCCTGCTCCTTATTTTAGTCCAGATGGACAGGGATGTCAATGTCAGTTACAGCAACAACAAAATATCGCCAGGTAATGATTTTCAAATCCTTCGAAGAGAGAGAGAGCAGTAGTCGGTGGAAGAGGGGAGGGGAGGGGGGTAATGACTTAAATTTAAGAGAACTTAAAGAGCTTTACACGTGATTTTCAAGTTCTCATTACCTAATTTGTTTATATTTTACTAACGCTACCTCCGCTTTTCTATTTTTTACGACTTACTTTGTTATTTACAAGTACAGTTGTAGCTTTACTTCCGTCTCCTATAAAAATACAAACAGCTTTAGCATGTGATAACCAAATAACCACTTTTGTTACCGCGCTAATACCATTTAAACGACCACTAATATAAAGACACAATTATATGGTGCGTGTTCTAAAAGTTGGAAAACCAGACTATCTATCTATATATATATATATATATATATATATATATATATATATATATATATATATATATATATATATATATATATATATATATATATATATATATATATATATATATAAAATCAATGTTTGTGTGTTTGTTTGCCCCCTATAGACTCAGAAACTACTGAACCGATATAGCTGAAATTTTCAGGATATGTTTGTTTTGATACCGGATCTTGAACCATCGTGGTTTGAAATTCCTGTCACTGTTAGAGATAGGTGACAACAATTTATGCCATAATATTCGCAACTAATATTTATAACTTTAGTGATTTCTAATTATAGCCACGTTAGTAATTGCGCATGCGCCGCCGTAGTCAGAACGCAAGGCTTCCGCCATTCGTCGGCGAGTTACGTGCAGCCAACGCCTTAATACATAGAGTAGGTCGAGGTACTGCAAACAAGACTATCTCTATATTCGCCACAATAACCATATTAAACACGATTTCTATTTTCTTTTTTTTTTTTTCAAACAACTTTGGGGGGGGGGGGGCAATCAAGGACTATCTCGGCGTCGGCGCAGACATTGACTTCGTCATTAACTTCATTAGACAGGTGCGATTTCCATTGTCTTTCTTTTCTAAAAACCTTTGAGGGAGAGGGTACTAGGTGGATTTAGTTGTGGGGGGGGGGGGGATCAAAGACTATCTCAAATTACGCCACAGCAACGCGTGGCCGGGTACAGCTAGTTATTTATAAATACTGTCATTGCTTCAGCTGTTCTACATTTAATTTTTCTTTTTCTTAAACATCTTCCATTTGATAAAACCAGAGTACCAAAATACATAAAACAGATCGACTTGCTTCAGAGCTGTCCCCATTTACTTTTATAACAAATGTACTAGACCAATGTAAATTATTTGCAGTAGTCATTTATATGCATGTTTTAACTCATTTCAACACAGTTGGTAAATATTGTCTATTTGCTGGGACTTTTTTCAGGTGATTCCATTAAAATCCTTGAAAATGGAATATAAACCATACAATGCGAAGTTAAATTTATCAAATTCATATGATGTCTTTCTGGCGGATTCAAGAATCATACGCCTGCTGCCGACAGTTCTGGGAAAACACTTTTATGGTAAAAGGAAGTAAGTCGGTTATATTTCCCTTAAAATTTTGGATGTATTTTTTTAAAAGCATTATATGCTGGTTTTCATCTATTATTTGGCATAATGTTTTTATCACCACACGGCATGTAACATTCTTAAAAACATGAGTCAAGCCTCTTCTTCTTGGTGTTTACCAGCTGTAAACTCCGGCAGAAAGTTAGGGTTGTTCGTCCATTTCCTTTCTGAGGTCTTGTACCAGAACTTGAGTTTTGCGCGCATGTCAGCTTTGCAAATCTGGCTTATTTGTATACAGACTGTTAGTTCTTCGCTTCTTAGGTAGTTAATTCACTTTTCACAACATATTTGAAATGGAGTCAGCAGGTCTATCCCCTCCCCCCATCCCAATAGGGCCTCATAACCCAAACAGGAAATACATCAGGCAAAGAGCAGTCTTCTGTAAACAGACTGAATAACACTAAACACACGTCTATTCTTCTTCATCTGCTCTTTATCCCCCAGTTGAGCATATGCCCTCAACCAGCCCAGGCCAAATCGTGCTGTCACTAGCTATAACGTGTAGCTCACTTCATGCTGTCTCCATCTTTTAAACTTCTCTCTAGTTCCGTTCTATATGTTTTTAGTCTGCCTATATTTCTATGCCCCTGTGGATTCCAGGGAAAGACATCTATTTTAAATAACACATTTTCCAGAGGTGGGGTGATTGCTGTTTAATTCAGATTTGAAACAGTGTAAAATGTGACTGGAGATATGATGCTGAAGATCTTGCATGGTGCAAGCTGAAGACACAATTGTGCAGGCTTGATAACATTGGCCAAGGACAGAAGTGGTTCAGAATGTCCCAGCAAACATCAGTCTTGTGTAGGGTTCTAATCTAGTCACACTGGGCCCTAAGTCCAGGGACTGGCCAGAGGCGCAAATAGACATCGCTTAGTGCAACCACAGCATTTAGTTTGAGAATGGTGGTGGAGGCAGTCTCTGCAGCCTTCCGCTGGCTTGGGAATTAGCTGTACATGCAAATTGTCAATCCCTAATAGTTGCATTTTACAGCATGCTTATTAAGGGGCAGTGTATAAGGGATCCGGTTAAAAATATTACTAAATATAACATGGGGGGTGGTGTAAAAATGACTTCTTAACAAGCCACTGTAACTTTGTAATTTGTCTCTAGCTTTAGTGTTAGAATTCTGACAAGTTCTGTGACAGGGGTCACAGTTTAAGTCATCCAGATGATTTTTTTAAGGCTCTAGGAGTGCATTCTATTTTATGCTTCACTCCATGTTTATTGATTGATCACTCCCTTAATATGTTTTTAAAAATTTTAAATACATTTCTTCGAGAAATATATAAGTGAAGCATGTTTCTGCGCCCCTTTTTTAAAATAGCATGTCTGGGACAAAAAGTCGGGCAAATGTAGAAGAAAATAACTGGCCAGGTTTGTATAGGTAGATAGTTTTACCCCAGCAGGACTTCACACAAGCGATAAACACCTGGTGACACCATGCGGATGATAATCGCCCGTGGAGAGGTCCCAGAAACCCCTTTCAGCCGCTAGGCGATATCTGTGCACCTGGCTATATTCAGGGCCTCCGGCAGAAGTCAAGGTGGGGCTTTAAAAACAAAATATTGCATCCCACATGGTGATGATAGATAAGTTTGTTTTGTATGTGCTTGATCATATGGACAAAAGCTTATTACACATGATGCATTGTTTGGGATTGAAAATTTGGATTAGTTTTTATTACTCCACAAATTGATTAGATATTTGTTAATTTATTCATCAGGTCACCAATACAAGTGAATTTACAGGCGAAAGATTTAGCCAAGGAAATTGAATCTGCCATCAACAGCAGCAGGTGTCCTATCAGCTCTAAGGGATCTTCCAGGTAACCTCCCCTTCTTAGCTTTGGTTTTTCCTATACTTCTGGACCAAAGTCTTGTTCCAGAACTTGAGTAATGCTTGCACATCTGATTAGGCTTATTTGTGTGCAGACGGTTGTGACTTCGCAGAAGAGCGACTGATTATTTTACTTTTATAACGTGCTTCTTAGGGAAGTCCAATTAACCACCTAACTGTTAGCCATAATACTCTTAGCAGAATAAGAAACCAACACAGCTGCAGGATTTATTAAGGAGGAGATCTGAGCAATTTTGGACTGAATAGTTCAATGTGCAGTGTGGATAATCTGTCGAATAACTCTTGGCAATAAATATTTTATTCAGTCTTGTGTAGATAACAGTAAAAAGTAAAGGACCCTTTTCACGCCAAGGACGTACTGGGCATATGATGTTTGGCTAATTTTTGTCAGCCAAATGTTCGCTCTTTTAGTGATGTGGTTTTTTTTTACTTTTTACTTCCAAAGTAATTTCTTTGTGTCCATTTTAAACTCTTTTGAAATGTAGCTATGGTTAGTTTTTAAACCTTTGATTTGATATAGAATGTGAATCGAACTCAAGACTGGCAGGTAAGTATTTAGTCACTGCAGCTGCATTTTGTGAAGGTTATGAACAGTAAAAGAAAACTTTAATTCCTAGCCTCCATATATACTGTTAGTGGGAGTGGTAAGCGCTAACATATACTTTGGAGTGGGCTGGCTGGCCTTAACCTATATTATGGAGTGGAAGAGGCTAGCCTTAACGTATACTATGGAGCAGCCATATGAACATGTGGATTGGCACCTGAGACAACAGATCAGCCCCCCCCCCCCCCCCCCCCCCCCCCCCTCAAGACTGTCCCAAATACATCATATCAAGGCAAAACTTTTGGCCAAGAGAATCATCGGTGCAAGCCTAATTTTACGGATTGAATGAGAACAGACGGTGAAGTTCATACTAGAGAAAACATTGCAGATAGAGATAATCTGTTTCAAGCAAATGAAAGAAGAAGAAGACTATGGAGCAGAATGGTTAGCCTTAGTGTATACTCTGAAGCAGGAGTGTGTAGCCTTAACTTATACTGTGAAGCAGGAGTGGCTAGCCTGAACATACTATGGAGTGGGAGTGGCTAGCCTGAACATACTATGGAGTGGGAGTGGCTAGCCTGAACATATACTATGGAGCGGGAATGGCGACCTGAGGGTCTTTGTTTGGATCAACATTAGGGTGAATATTTATTAAAAGTTACCGTTGATGTGGCGGCTAGACACTCGCCTGCAGATCGGAAGGTCACGGGTTTGGGTCTTGACCTGACCTTGGCTGCCAGGTCAACCCAAATAAATAAGGGCGGCTAGCCTGATTTTGACCACATCACCCACTAAGTGCCGATTGGTCTAAAATATAGGTTAGCCCTATTTTCCAGATAAACTCAGTGGTGTGGAAAAGGGGTCCTTTTATTCACTTTACTTTGTTTATTAAAGTGACCTTGCTAAAGTGACAACACAGCCTCGGATGGATACCGAGTGAGGACCTGGAAATATAACGGCACTATGGTGACTTGTCGCCAGAGTGTTGATTGGTCAGTAAAAATATGGGTCTAGAACCATATGCCCAGTGTCCCAGCGGCATGAACAGGATCTTTTAATTAACTTTTTCAGGGTCAAAGAACGCATCGTGTGTGGATTTATAATTAATATAACTACAACAAATGCCTCAAAAAGTCACATGGGTCGACCAAAAGCTGCAAATATTGCCTCCATACTCTAAACAGGCACGCTATGTTTACATCACTCGGATGAACTATGATAAGAATTATTATTTCTCTAGGTGCGTCACCATTGCTTGCATTATATCAAAACATGAAACATTAAATTTCTGTCCTGTAGTCGAGCCACTGTGGGAAATATGGACATGAGCCATGCAGAAATTGTTCAGAACATTCTAGCAGCAGTCAGTCAGATAGCAGCTTCTGTCCCTGGCGGAGCCGTCAACATTAGACAACTGAGCATCAAGACTGGTCTGTCCATGAGCATCCCCATATACATGGCTGAAGGTATTTATACTACATGAAAAAAAAAACCACAGGTTGCTACTGGGAGGAACAACAAGTTATCATAATTTTGACATTCAAAATCTTTGTAATAAATTGCATTAAATTGTCCAAATCGCACATTACTACCTTAGAGTTCAACCAGTCGGTTGACAGTTCTGTTGCATCTGGTTCCTCGATATTTTGGGCTGTATTGATTTTCACATCGTTTAATCAAAACATGCCATCGGATAACTATTGGATTTTTCAAACATCTTATTTTTGCAAGGCTTTTGCTGGAAACAAATGAATTGCCATTTTTTTAGTGGGAGAGAGGGGGGGGGGAATATCTATATTCTTGACAGTGTAGTTTAGTCATATATATTTCTCTTGGATCGCTTAAACTGCATATACCACACTCTGTCTTGTCCACACCCAGCCCCTAAGGGTTCCACTTGGCAGTTTTTTCTCATGTCTCACACCATTTCTGATGCTTGCCAGTACTTCAAGGCATCGTCACCTTCTGATTGCATGACATTACTAAACACTATTTACTATTTTCATTTATGATAAATTAGAGCTGTGAATCAATCAGACAGGAATAGAGGGGACACACACTATTTCTTAATGATCTTTTTGTCATCCAGATGCCTCAGAATGGGTCTACCGTTGGAAACATCTCAAAGTACAAAAATAGAGCATGTCAAGCAAAGAGCTAAGAATTCAATTGGTGGACAATCTGCATGGCAGAATGAACAATCCCACACTATGTAAACAAAAGGATAGCATGGTTAAGCTTAGACTTCTGTGTTCATCATGTGTCTAATTTTAGACTGTTGTTGGTTATATGTACAGTTTAACAAGAGCCGCGGATCGGAAGGTCGTGGGTTCGCTCCCTGACGGAGCGGAACTTTTTTCAAAAATGACCTTGGCTCCCAGGTTGACCCAGCCCTGAGTGGGTACCGGGTGCAGTCCCGAGAAAGTAAAGGCGGCCGGCGTGATGCTGACCACATCACCCATCTTGTGCTGATTGGTCTATAAAAATATAGGTCTAGCCCTATACACCTAAAGGCGTGGGAAAAGGGTCCTTTACTTTTTTACTTTACTTAACAAGAGCCAATATATGTGTATTTCAGTTAAAAGGACTGGTAATGCATTTTGATTAAAACACTGAAATAAGACACCTGACCTGATACATCAAAACATGCTGGGCAATAAATTGTGCAATATTTGTTTGTATGTTTATTTTAAAGAATTTGTTTGTAATTCAAGTGAGTAATTTTAAACGTTTCTTTTTTTTTTAACAGGCGGTCCCCAGGATGTCACCCTCCCGATAAAGGAGAAACGTGCTGTTGTGGAAGCTGAAGAAATATCAACTATACTGGAAGCTAAAGTCAAAGTTTATCCTGACGGGAGAATTGCAATCATAAGGGATGGTGACGACAAAACAGACACAAAAAAACGACACAGACCATCAGTACAACCGAAAAAGAAAGGCACACAACGTCACACTAGTATGATGCAGCGTAGGAAGAAAACAACTCAGCATAGGAAGAATACAACACAGCAGAGGAAAAGTGCAACACAACAAAGGAAGAAACCAGTGCAACAAAGAAAGAGCACAACTCAAAAGAGGAAGACAGCAACAAGTCTGAAACCTGCAAAAAGGCAAAGGACTAAATAGTTAAACTTATGTTATTTTATGTTTGACAGGTTGATACTGCCATGTGCATATAGTTTAGGAATTGATTTTCCGACTAGATCAGTTCTGTCTCAGGCCTAATCGTTTTTGACATTTCTGCACAGATCTTGTGAGGAGAGAATGCAACCGCGTTTGCACTCTTTTGTGTGACATACCCATCTTTAAATCAATCTTTCCATCCTTTGAATACATCTTTACTTTCTGCTAAAACTTGCCTGTCAGTTCTTTGTATCTTCAACATATCTGCATCATGTCTTGCAACTGGCTCTGTTCTATTACAAGTGTTCATCATGTTAAATCTTAAAAGTAGTTTCATATCTTATTTGTTCATGGTCAGTTACCTTATTTCAAACAACTATGTTCCAACCTTGAGTTAAATATCTTCTTTCTTTTATCTTCCTGAGCATTTCTTTGTCACAGAGCCTCGGTTTCTTATAGGTCTGATCGTCTGCACTTATTGCCAATTACTGCCTGTATTATACCACTTTTGCTGGGGGGGGGGGTCTTTGAGTCTGAAGATAGATGGTCGCGAGGCTAGTGCTGTCGCAACGACTGTGCAGGTGATTTTATTTTGCCCCTGCAGAAAAAATCCCCAGCCTTACCAAGGATTTGAACCTGGGTCTCCCACTTGAGAGCCCAGCGTTTTAACCATTCGGCCAACCGCTCCTCTTTGCACTTAGTGTACAGAAAGTTGGTATTAAAATGAAAAATTCTCAACAGCATCTGGCTTTTTTCTTTTTTGAATTTTGGTTTCATTTGAGGGACCACTACACAGTTGTGACAGTCACTCTAAACCAGACTGCACACACAAACTAAATGAGTGAGGAAGTGCAAAGAAGATATGTCTATTGTGTGCTGCTGTATTCTGCTAAAACAGTTTTGCATACATATCCACCCCCCCTATTTTTTGGTGTGTGCCTAGTTTCATTCCTATATATTATAAGCTTTCACTGCTGTGACTGAGGAGTGGCTAGAACGATTAAGCTCTGTATTGGGGTAGACCTTGAATTGTCAGTCAGGTGACAAGAGATTTTCTTTTTGATGGGAATGAAAACCTTTAAACATCCTAATATGCAGAGTTTGTAATACTGGGCATATATGGTATACATGCTTCTGTTTCCAATAAACTTTGTATGTTTCACCAGCTGTGAATTGAGAAGTTTTGGTTGGTTGTCCACTTTTAGTTTTGGTCCAACACTTGAGTTTTGCATGCACACCCATTTTACAGATCCAACTTATTTCTGTGCAGGCTGTTGATTACATGCGGCCTGACTTTGAAGGACACTGCTAATTGGTTGCTTTCTACGATATGTTTGCTAGGAGGGCAGTGGTTCTCTTCCCCCCCCCCCCCTCCCAACACACAATGGATGGAGCCTTGGTACCCACATGGGGAATATTTGTATTCCTTCTCTGTGTTTATCACCTGTGAATTTCGAGCTGTTCGTCCACCTCTAGACTTTAGTCTTGTTCAAGAACCCGAGTTGAGTGCACATCCATTTTACATGAATAATTTGTTTGCAGACTATTGGCTCCTTGCCTCTCAGGCAGATAAACGCAGGCATCAAAGGCCCCCCCCCCCCCCCCCCCCAATTAGTCAACTCTTATAACATGCTTGTTGGGGAGACAGTGGGTCTATTCTTGTTTCCTCGCAATGGGGCCCTGGAACCCACACTGGGGATATGGGTACTGTTCTGATCTCTATGCTTCTTCCTCTTCTACAGTAATGCCGTACCGAAAGCCAGTTCTTAAATGTTATTTCTTCTCTGATTTTCTAAGCTATTGCAGGGTTGCCTATTGTTTCACTGGGTAATTTTTAGGGGTCCATTTTCACACCATTGAAGCTAAAGGCATATGGTGCAATAACCATGTATGGACCAACCTGTTAATAACAAATCTGCCCTGATACAGACTCAAACCCAAAACCTTAGTCTGGCAGGCAGGCACATGTCCAGCCACTGCACTACCTAGGCTTCCATTACATATTTGGAGATCTGAAAATGTGGGTCACTGCAGTCAGAGTTTTTGTTAGCATTCACTGGCTGAAACTCCAGTGGAATGTTTTTGGTTTCTTGCAATTCTAGACTTTGGTCTTCTTCCCAAGCGTGAGTTTTTCATGCACATTCATTTTACAGATCTGGCTTAATTGTATGCAGACTGTTGGTTTCTTGCATCTCAGGCAGATGCACTTTGACTAGAGGGAAATACCCCTAGTTAGTCCCCTCCTAAAACATGCTTGTTGGGGGGGGGGGGGGGAAGAGGGTGGTTCGTACTACTCTTTCAAAATAGGGCCCTGGAACCCACACAGGCAGCAGTCAAACTGATGCGTAGTATACAATTATTAAACCATGTCTATCCTCAGGGCTTAGGATGGCTGTCCTGGGACAGTAAAGACGGCCGGCGTAATGCTGACCACATTACCCATCCAGTGCCAATTGGTCTGTAAAAATATGGGACGCTCTTCCCATATACCTGATGTTGCGCATAAGGCGTGAAGAGATCTTTACTTTTACTTATCCTGGGGGGCTTAGGATTCCTTGTTTTATTCACTGATAAAGACTGGTCTAAATGTTCTTTTCTGTCCATGCACATTTTTTCCCTTTCTGTGAGATTCCTAGTGCTAGTTTTATGTTTAATTTTGTAAATCTGGTTTGATAAAACCATGTTGTGTGGAAGGTTGGAAACTTTCTCAGAAACCAAATCTCCGTTGCCTCCCAACTTTTCCTTATTCAGCCATACAGACTCAGTAGAACATTTCTTCTTGGTTTCTATGAGAATATAACTGTGGTGCCCATTGATAGCTTGACTGCAATATTTGTGCCTTCAGGACACATCCAACATCTTCAGAAAATTGTTGTCTGGGTTAGCTATCCTGGCTGTATCTTATTTCAGTACTCTCTTATCCTCATCAGGAAGGGAATGAGAGTGAGGGAAGAAAAGATCGCAGAAAGAATGAGAGCTGAGCGTCTGAAAAGAAACAGATTAAACACAAATGTTGACAACAGTGCTCCTGAAATCTGCTATCATTGTGGAAGACTTTTCTTGACACGGGCGGGTCTTGCTAGTCGCCATCGCCATGGGCCTCCTCATAGCGCAATATAACACTATCGTCTGAAAAGATGGAAAGGTGCCAATGCAATACCAGCTTTGTGCTATCAGTGTCAGACATGGACGATACTAGAAAAACAAAAATAAAATTACAGCATGTGAAATATGTAAAAAAAAATGTGGCGGCAAAAACCGCAGACAGGGTCACCAGTGAAAACTAAGAACAATGGCACAGTACTGGCAAATAATTAATAGAATTTTAAAAATCCAAATGATTTAGTCCCCTGGTCAAAATGGAAAAAAATCAGCCATCAGCTAGAATGTACTACATAAGAACAGCATGGAACACAGGTCAAGAGACTGACCAAGAAAGAGATGAGTGGAGGGAGTTCAGGAGACGCTATAGAAATGCAATATGTCATTAACACAAGCTACACAACTAACAAAAGAGAAAACTGCATCTAACTCCTCTCTCTGATGCTTCTTCATGGTAAAAGCAGTAGGACAAAAGAAGATGCGATCTGTTCATCATCATGATGTGACATGTTAATAATCACAGGCGGTCATGCTTTGCCATCCTGAATGATCACCAAAATGATGGATCAGTTCAATGCACTGTTCTGTCTCTCCTCCCCCCCCCCCCCCATTCAAATGGTCAAGCCATCCAGATATTTATCTCTTTCCCCTTTCCTATCAATCTTACTTTTAAGAAATAAACACGAAATATTCATTTAAAGATTTATATTTCACAAAAGCATACAAAAGTTGATTACATACTCCAGCAGCAGACACTGGAAGACATTCAGTTATTATACGACAATGATGTAAATGAAAAAAAAACATGCACAACCCAGATAAATATCATAATGAAATAAGCACAGATCTCATCAGTCACAAAGGTAACTGGAAGCTGCACATATATTAAATATCATACACATAATTAAAGTATGTTGCATAACCTTTATATCATAAACTTCTGCCACTATGTGTCGTGATGAATAATTTGGGATCTGATGCATGCAGGAAAGGCGTCTTTAATGTTGTCAGTCCATGTTTTGTGTTCGTCCTCTTGCAAGATGTGGTGCCTGTGATGGTATCTGATACTTCTGCATTCTATTTACATTTTCAAATGCCTTGGGCAATCATGCCTCTCCGCAATCTGTGAACTTCAACTGATATATCAGTTCGTATGTTGACACACCTCCACACCATGACAAAAGACTGTCCTCCTCCCACAGATCTTTTCAGTGGCCATAACATGTTCCAGTTTCCTTCTCATAACATGAACAAAAATTAAAGATTGTCTCTTTCTGATGCTTGTGATAAGTTATTTTCAAGCCCTTGCCTCTTTCGAAACATCTTGGTTGCTCTTTTTGGCTGTCCAAGGATTCTAATGACTTGTAAAACCACATCTCTGAAGCCTCAAGAAATTGTTTGACTATTTAACTATCCAGGATTGACAGCCATATGTTAAAACTGGCTCTATATAGCAAGCTAGCATTCTATCTACCCATTACAGGACATCATATACCAGCCCTAGCATTTGCTGGCTATTTGTGATTTTTATTGGGCAATTCTAAATTATGGCCAATTACTGGATGTAGAAGCCATACACAAAAACGCCCCCAAAAAATCAAATGCAGCCAGTAATTTGCCATTTGATATCTGAATAGTTGGACTTTCATACCCTTGTCGAAATGTATGCAGTGATTTGTTACCAAATCACCTGCAGCTTAAATTGTCTCCTTGTATGTCAGAATTTATGAAACTTGTGATCCCTAAACCACAGATGGTGACTATATATAATTAGTTCTTGATAAAAAAAATTAAAAGCAAGACGTGCATAGCTGACAGAAATAAATATTCAACTCACTAACATTACACTCTGAACTGGTTCAAGTCTACTAATCATAAACTCGGGGGTTTTGTGACTGCAGCAGCAGGCCTACTGGTCAGGAAATAAATCCTGCATTCTCTCGTTCATAACAGAGATAAAGCTTCTGTTTTCTCCTTCATAACAGAGATAAAGCTTCAATTCTCTCCTTTATAATAGATATAGGGCATCTATTCTCTACTTTCTAAACCCTTCATAAGAAATGTCAAATGATATTTTTATACTCAGTCCTACTGTATGGTGCAGAGACCTAAACAATGAACAAACATTGTCTGCACATTTTGTAATTTCAGGATTGTATGGCAAACCTTTAGGTAGCAGCCCGAAGGGGACAAACTGGTCATTAGAACCAAATAAGACTCAAAGCAGTCAAAAAAGATGCATATGACGAAATCTTCTGAACTGAGTCGTGTAAAGAACTAACATCACAGTGCACTGAGCTGTGGGAGCCACCATGATGTAGTGGCCAGACCTGAATGGAGAAAAAAATGACCCTCACTACCAGGTTGACCCAGCAAAGGTCTGGGGAAGTAGAGGCGACCAGCATGGTATTAGACACATCACTCTAGTCTAGCACCATATGCCCAATACCACTGAAGGCGTGGAAAAGGAGTCCTTTATTTTTTCTCTGGGAAGTCTTTCCCAATCTTCAGCAGCGTGGGTAGAGTCAAATACCAGCTTCAGCCATTTCTATATTCCTATCTTGCTTTTTGTCTGAACAATGATAGTCAGCCAGAAAGTGCGCTCACTCCCTATTGCACCATTCTCTCTAGACCATGTTAGGTGATCTGTTCACTCACTCATCTGCACTGTTCGCGTGTTCAAACTCAAAATAACTAAGTAACAATCTTCAGACTCCAGAAAGGACATAACATATTTGTTTAATAAACTAATAGGAAATAATGACAACGCAACAAGATTGATAAAAATATGGCTTGCAATATGCAAAACATAAAATTGTTTGGCCCATATCTTTTGAGAATAAAATAAATCGAAATCAACAAGCTCAAATTGACTGCTGCTTTTTTAAGTCGGCTTGAATAAAGCTACTGGATTCACAAGGGAATCTTTCTAAATGCTGTATTTAGTTAATATATTAGTGTCTGGGACTCCTAAACACCATGTAGGTACATATAAAGCCAGTGGTATTTAACTAAGCTTTTTGAGAACATATCACTGAAGAAATAATGATATATAGACATTTACTGGGCTGTCTCGCAACCAGAAGTGACTAGGTTTAGCCTTCTTGAAGCAATAGCGTTAAATATATTCAGGCTGATATCTGATGGTGTACAAAGAAGAATAATGATGAAACAATTAATGCATGTCACAAGCTATCCACCTTCCACCACACGTGTCTACGTAGAATTATACAACTTTTCTGGCTAGATACAATCTCAAACACTAAACTACTTCAAGTCACAAACCAAGAAACTCTAGAAAGTATGATAACCAAGAGCAGATGGAAATGGCTTGGCCACGTTATGAGAATGAATTCTGACATGCCTGCCAAAACAGCTTTCACATGGATACCAGAAAGGGAGAGAAAAGAGGGGCATCTCTGACATGGAAAACTGCACTGAAGATTGCACAGGACAGGAGGAGCATGGAAAGTCCTCTCTGAAGCCTTGTGCCACTAGGCAAAAAGAGAATTGATGATGATGATGATGAATTAATGCATGTGTAGTTATTTTAATTAATATAAAATAGTCTCATTATTCCTTGCTGGAGCCAAACAATAGGTACGTGATGCTGCGCTGGCTGCTTTGTTTGTTAGCACTAATTCCAACTCCTGGAAGTCTGTCAACCTCTTTACATCTTTATCCTTTCGGATGATAGTGTCCGGCAGCTTGCGAATCTTTGCTACAAGACTTTTGTCCACACCTAGTTCAGCACACATCAAACTGAACAGGCCAGCAAAATGTAGCTGAGTGCGAGGAAGCTCTATTTCAATGAAGTCTTTTTCATCGCTATTTGCTAGGCGTGCTTTCAGCACCAATTCTGAAAAAAAAAAAAAAGATAAATAGCTTTTACATTCTGTATAATTTGTGTGATTTGGTAAAAGGAAACTGGCTTAACTTTTATTATAAAATATACCTACATCAGTATGTAATCTTCTCAGCATTCACTGCTTTAAAGTTCTTCTATCTTTCTACTTCTTTCTATGAGTGCCGTTCACAATACTTTCTGTTACTTGATTAATTTAAAGTAGTAGAAAATTCTGATTGTTTATAAGTTCTAAACTTTGGTCTTTATCCAGAATTTGAATTCTACATGCACACCCGTTTTAAAAATCAAGTTTATCTGCATGCAGACTATTAGTTCCTTACCTCTCAGGCTAATGCACTCTGACATCAATGGAAACATCCACAAATACTGTGGTACCTCAGAATTCAGATACCTCAAAACTCAAACTCGGAGTCCGAATGAAATTTTCAAGTAAATTTTGGCTTGGAACTTGAATGCCTGGCATGTGCCGACCACAGGACTAATCTGACAAAGCTTTATCACCTTCACTAGCAGCAGATGGAAGAAACTACAGAAGAAATGTAGGTGCTTTATTTATATCCTACCCCAGATGACATCACAGGACAGTCCAACATTTCAGAGGGTGGTAAGACTGGGTTTCCTGGCTTTTTGATGCTTTTTATAACCCCAAAACATCTAGAACTGGCCCTAGCCCCAACCCACCTACATCCCATGACTGCATGCAGCCTATCTACCACCCCTTGAAATATTAGACTGTCCCATGACCTGTGGATTTCCCCTGTTTGGGGTAGGATATTAATAAAGCACCAAAATTTATTTCGGGAAGGAGGAGAGGCAAGCTAGAACGATTAGCACAGTTGTAATCCAAGATCATTTAACCATGTCACTGAAAACATAAGAAGCTGAGAGGTGGCACCTTGATAGGGAGCCATAGTTAACAACTGTGTTAATTTATTCAATGATAACATTATCAAACTAAAAAAATAAACAAAAATAAAAAGTTAAAAATGGTCACCAACACCACACCACTGGAAGGCTTGCTGTCAACAAAATCTAGTGACTCCAAACCCTCTACAAGTGGTAAATGACTACAATATGAAACACCACGAAGGATGTCTGGTGTATAATGGAAGGTGATTCACCTTCCAAACAATAATTCTCCTAAATCCCGCTTGCTTCCCCTACTTCTTTGTGCTATGTCACCATTTTCCTCAGGGTCCAATAAATATAAGATTTTTATATCTTTTTTTATTTAATTAAGTTTGCATTCAAATCTGATCTTCGTGTGTTACTAAATTTACAATTACTGTATTTAGGACAATGCATTTTAAAATTTTAGTTTGTTGGACCTCGGAACAGATTAATTTATTTTCAATAGGAAAAATAAATTTGGAACTTAAACAATTAGGAATTTAAACGCTGTCTTCGAACAGATTATGTTTGAATTATGTGGTACCTCTGTAGTCACCTAGTACAACAATCAGTGCTGACCCAGCCTTCACTAACAGAGCCTCAGGACTCACAAAGGGAAATATGTAATGTCATCCGTATTTTTAAAAAAAAAATATTTTTTAGGGTAATCATTGGGGAACTTTTTTTCTTCATCAATCGCTGTGATTCAGTTTGTCAAATAGCAGGATATTTGGCCAGCAGGCTTTTTTCATATTCCAACGAGTTTTTGAGGGACGTTAACACCCATGCACTGGTGGTGGCTCGATGAAAGCCAGAAGCTCCCACCTAGTGACGTCATCGTGAAGCTAGTTTTGTCAATCTTGCAGCTCAGTACATCTGATTTTTGAAGCATTTTCTAGGGTGTTTACTTTCCCCGCTCTCTGAGTGTCTTCAGTACATCCGCAAGGCAGCAGGTTTGGGTCAATTTTTACTTCTTACCCCTTGGCCTGTCTTATATGGGAATCCCTAGTTTGTAAGGTCACTGGAACACCCAAGCCCCTCTATCACAGCAAGATGGAGTCACTTATGAGGGGCAAAAGTATTTACTATATATTATTACCTCTTTCACGACAGTGTATCATCGGCGACCAGGTCACCCAGTGGCTCACCGGTAGACGACTTTGTTGCTGGTCGGGACAGTATTTGGGTCTGTTTCCAGTGATCGTATCAACACTGCAGGAGTCCTTTTCAGAGCTCTTGGTGGTGTGCAATGCTAAGAAATTTTATATGGTGCACATAACCTAGTCACAATTATAACCTAAAGCTCTCCCTTTGGGTATGCTGGTTGAACATGACAATTCTTTTCCACCAATAAAGCATCTACCTACCCAAGGACAATGTTGGACTGGGGGTGGGGTGTCTCATCGGCGTTAGGGTTTAAGACCACATGGCCAGTGCAGTCGCCATGCACTGTGCAGGTTGTAACTTCTATTTTTGCTTCTGACAAAAACAAATCTGCAACCATTACTGATGATCGAACCTGAACCTCCTGCATAAAAGCCCATCCTAAAAACTCAACCAACTGATTCTCAAAAACAATTTAAACAAAACTAATTTTCTTCACAACAACGTGATGAAAGACAGCTGCTTACCATCAGACATGCTACTGGAGACCGTGGGTGTGTAAACAGATCTGCCGTCACCTCCTGAAGCCTTGTAGTACATGCTGTTCACTGGAAAATGTGACTGGTTATCCCTGTCATTGCTTATATAAGGAAACGCAGGGCTGGCCAGGTAGTTTGGCAAAATTGGCAGGGGGGTTGTTTTCACTTCACATTCAGAAGACACTGGTGTGACAAAACACAAAGGAATAAAAAATAAAAGGCTGGTCAAGAGGATCAACTTTACAGCACTTAGGTTTATCTGCAGATGGCTCAGTTTCCATACAGAGCAGCTGGTCATTCATTAGAGCAGTGAAATTCAGCCTTTTTCACCCCCCCCCCCCACCCCTCACCCAACCCCCCCCCCCCCCCCTCCTCTCCCCCTATTTACAAGACCTCCATGCCAACCTTGGTTATCTTAGTTTCAGTTCCAAAGCAAACAGGTCACCCCGTTGCTGCTCCTCTCCTGTGCCAAAGAAAAACACACAGAATGTACATTGCCGTCCAATGTGGGAAAATTGGCACAGACTACAGTCTCAGCATATGGACTAGCATACACACGCTTTAAAAGCATAAGGCAGCCATCAGAAGTGCTAACACAAACAGTCTGATATTATAAATGCAGTTCATCACTGACGGAAGCAGCTGTTACAAACAGATCAGCAGTTGAGGGACCACAAATACTGTGGCAACAGGCCACACGCCATTTACAGTACACAACACCACATTGGTCACAGTTTAAAAACATTCAAAATCAAATCCGCAGCTCACAGCATGGTGCCATGCACTCAACTCAGTAGCTGGGCGACAAAACTATATCCTTTCAGTCTACAAATGGACAAAAATGCAACTACCTCGTATGTCATAAGCAAAAAATGTGCTACGACTAACAACAATGACAATGCCTATCGACCATTTTGACGACCAGAAACCCCTTTTGATTATTTTGCAAGACCCCCCCCCCCCCCTCCCTTGAGTGTCAAAACCCCACACATGCCTCCAAACATAAAATGTGATTAAAGAGAGGACAATAGATTCCGCAATAAGCGAAACAGACAGAATGGAGATACTTTTGGGCCAGAATGTGTTCTTAATTTATAATTAGATGCCTGTATTATAATTTTAATTAGATTTGTAACTGTAAATATACAAACTGCTTATAAAAATGAACAAAAAAGTCTTTGGCGTTTTGTTTTATAAATAGTTGTCAAAATACTGTATTTATAACTAAACTAAAAATAAAATTTTAAAAACAACAAAATTATTACAAATCTAAACAAATGCACTCAAGTTTAAAATTGCCCCTTCCCCCCAGGTTGGAGACTACTGTACTACAGCATCGTACAAAGCAGAAACCACGCACACACCAAAAACTATGCTTAGGCTCCTTTGGCTCCCCAGAAGAACAAACCCCTCCCCCGCCAATAAAATTTCAAACCCAACCCAATAAAAAAATTTTTTAAAGATAACCCCCCCCCCCCCCCCCCCCCCCCCCAATAAAATCTCATAAATACTGATATCTAGGCTTGGTGCTTTTTTTAAATTGAATTTTTTTGATTAACGGCATCATGTCTCTGTGAAGTGTTCACTATGCCTGTAAAACAGCTTTGGTGCTAGTTGCAGCTGCACAGGAGGCGATTAATTAACTTTAAAATTGGAGTGCATCTGCCTGAGAGGTGAGCAACAAACAGTCGCCATACAAATAAGCCAGATCTGTAAAATGGATGTACACACACAAAAATCAAGTCCAGAAGTGGACGAACAGCCAGAACTTTCCACTGGAGTTTACAATCAATGAGTGCTATGAAGAAGAAATCTTTAGCTCAGATATTCTAGTCAAATCAGCACATTGTTGATCTTCACTGATGCATCTGTTTCCTTGTTCCTCTTTGCATGAAGAAATTACTACCACAAGCACAGTTTTAGTCTGGTTGTTGTTATGACAACAAGTCCTTTCAACATGTCAGCCTGATTCCATCCAGATGCTTATCATCATCACAATCCTGTAACACCACATGTTGTTTGGTCACCAATTGCTGTTGACTGTCTGATCAGCTCCTTCCGCCTCTGTCGCTCTGATGCAATGGACTTGATGTCTGATGCCTCTCCATTTGGCCAAATTCTGCATGCAGGGTCTTTCTTGATCTGCTTCTTCTCCTCTAAAGAGTCCCGTAATGCAGATATTTTGTGATCTAATATTCTCCCCACCTTCCCCTTTAGTTGACGCTTGAGTCATATACCCATCTCTGTCAGAAACACTCATTTATATATTTAAGAATACATTTCAAAGTAAGCACACACAAAAGTAAATAAAACTATGTGTACATCTCCTCGACTTATGACCTATACTTACGATCACAAAAAATAGATAGTAAAATGGTAAATAAAGAAGGATATCTTCACGGGTAGGGTCAACAAGTTCCCTGAACTGGCACAACAGGGATCAGATCATGTATTTTTCTCATTATGTACAATAACTATATGTTAACAGATTAAATTTGTGTGTTTTATGTAAAATTTTTATAACCTATATGAATAAAAATAATGTTGTCCCTGTGCGGGTTCCTGGGCCCAATTGTTGGGAAAACAAGAATAGACCCACTGCCTTCCCAGCAAAGCATGTCGACTAACTGGGGCTTCCTTCCAAGTCGGCGTGCATCTGCCCGAGCAGTAAGGAGCAACCACAAATAAGCCAGTAAAACAGATATACACACAAAACTGAGGCCCTGGCACAAAGCCAAAGTTTAAATGGATGAACAACCAGGCCTTTCTGCGGGAGTTTACAGCTGGTGAACAAAGAAGAAGAAAATAATGTTGAAAAATTTGAATTTGACTTAAGAAATGGAACTCGATCATAAGTCAAGGAGACCATGTATTTTATTCTAAGGCTGAAATTATTACTAACCTCCTAACAGATTGCGGATTTCTTCATTTGATGTCAGCTGTGCTGGAGTGTGTCCATCTTTGTTCTTGATATTTCTGTCCGCACCTCTGTCGAGTAAGTACTTCACAACAGCAACATGGTTCCTCTTGCATGCCCAGTGCAAGGCTGTCCTGTGATAGTTATGAAAGGAAAAATATCTAATCTCAGCCGTTTAATGTTTCATTTTCTCTGCTATAGCGCCACTGTGGTTAGTTATCACAGTCAATGCACACTGGGCACTTCCATGCGTGCTCAATCCTCTGATGCAGCAGCCACTCCAAGGTACATCCAGAAGAAATCTTTACTGAAAATTTAAACATTCCCCTTCCATCTTCATGTATCTGATTAAGATATTTAATTCAACGTGTTGTTACATATCTGGCACTAAGAAACAACAAAAGGACATCAAGAGAAAATACCAGGAACGGTTTGCCCTCTTGTTTATTTGTTTATACGACGGATCAACATCATGACACAAGGGTGGTAACCCATAAGTGCTCCGTTCTACTTCTAACTCAAGCACGAGTCCGAAGAATCTCAGTGCAGTGCATGAGCTCCTTAGCATGGGCGAGGATCCTGATATAGTTTGGGTAGATTTTAAACTCCCAACTTTTTGTCCAGGCAGCGCTGTTAGGCTACTCTTTTCAATGTCCAATTGCCAAGGTATTTTTTACGTGCCCAGCAATGCACACAGGTGTCCGATCTCACTACCCAGAGACCAGAAGAAATTACTAGAAGTTCACGTTTTCCTTCTGACACAAGCAAGTAAAACATCTTCAAACTTGTTCTGCTGACCTTGTCCTTGTATGACTGCAGGTTACACCAAGCTGGTGTCGCTGCTATGGGTGCCCTAACTGTAATTTCTCTGGAGGCTGAACGGGGTATATGGGATCTGCCTGTTGGTCTGCCATTCAGATTGAGATTTTTTTTTTTCAGTTTCATGAAAGTATAATATACCTTTAGATAGCAGCACTGACAGGACAAATCAATCAAGTGATCAGACTAGACTTGTTCTGCTCACTAGGTACCAAGCACCTTAGTTCACAATGTAAAATCATTTATGGAAAATGTAAACATTCTCTGACTCTGGCTATCCTCTGAATAAGTCCCAAATTATCGAGGGTGAAAATACACCCTAACAGGGCCTTAGTCACGTGTCAATTGCTGACTTCCGGGGACTATACTGCCACCACTGAGAGTATCTCCCACACCGTGTGAGCGACGTGGATCGGGGCTAAACTAGATGGCTGGGACTCACGAGCAAATAAAATAAAGGAAGCTGCAGGATATGCAGTAGCTGCTGCTTGTGAGCCCATTCATCTAGTTTAGCCACAATCCACGCCGTGGTGGCGGAAGTGCGCAATTCAAGTCGCCAGAAGTCCGCAATTGATACATGACTCAGGCCCTGCTAGGGTATATTTTCGGCCTCGATAATTTGGGACCACTATTCGGAGGATAGCCCTGACTCCTTTTTAAATTTTCGTCACCATTATCTTCTTCTTACAGTTAATGCCTAAAGTAATGTTGGTAAGTCATGTTTGTTCATATAGCCCTGTGTGCTTTAAATCATTTCTGGTTAAAAGTAATTTCATACCATGATGTCAAACTGTCCAACATCTTCTCCTTTGGTTTTCCTTTGCTTCCTTTCCGCTTCAAGTTCAACTTTCCCGTTGTCATGAGAACTTCAGTCTCCCCCTCCTCATGATGAATGACGTACCCACAAAATTGAGATGCAGATAAATAAGGTCTCTTCGTGGGTTAATAATTTGTTAACACATCTTCCTTGCGCTTTTTATCTATCCTAAATAGGATACTGGCTGGTAGCAATTATCAAATCTAATTTAATAATAAAGTACATAAATGTAATCAAATTTGGGCACAAATTTGTAATCATAAACAACAGTAACAGTCACTCAAATAAAAATCATCAGAAAAGTTCAACAGTGAACTTACCACCCATTCATACTATTTTTGCTGTTTAAATCCACTCCTTGTAGTTCTAACTTAGTTAACAAAGTCAAGTCTCCAACACATGCTGCTTCTCTGAATCTTTCAGCGATATCATCTCCTAAAGACATCTTATCTAGCTATAAATCGTTTGTTATATTTCGCTCGTCAGATTTCAGATAGTAGACTACTAGATACTGTTGGCTTCGGCAATGTTGTGTGTAAAACGTCACAGAAGACTGTACCGGTAAAATAATTTAAAAAGTATATCTTGCAGAAAAGAGAAAACAATTTATAGCTAGAAGAAAAAATGCATACACAGGTAAAAAGTGAAGGACCCTTCTTCACTCCTTCAGATGTACTGGGCTACATCTATAATTCATAGACCAATTAGCAAGTGGTGACTGATGTGGTCAGCATCACACCGGCCGCCTTTACTTCCCAGAACTGCACCTGATACCCACTGGGTCGACCTGGGAAAAAAAGTCAGTTTTGACAAAAGTCCGGCTCCGCCAGGATCCAAACCAGCGACCTTCCGATTAGCAGGCGAGCGTCTAGCCGCTACACACCACCACGGTGACTTCATACACAGTAGTTGTTGTAAATGTCACATCCTATGCAACCGTCAGAGTTATAGCCCAAAAGTTAGTTGCGTATCCTTTACAGGACGTTGCAGAACCAACCCCAGCATTTATTTTAGCTGTTGTGGTTTTTATAGGCAGATTTACGTCTAGTAGTTTGCCACGCTTTCTATACAGTCGGCTTTCCGATACCATGGTCGAAACCATCGCAAGGACCCGCAGCTGGGATCGAACCCGGCACCCCGGCATTATGAAGCGCTTTCAGCAACGTCCTGTAAAGGATACGCAACTAACCTTTATAAGGAAATTAAAACTAATTTTTTTCTCCAGTTCCTTTTACTCTACCCATCTGGACTTCGTCGGCTCTGTGGCTAAGTCGATGCGAACACTTTGCTTCGTAATGCCGGGATGCCGGGTTCGATCCCAGCTGCGGGCAATGCGCCTTGCGTTGGTGTCGACAGTGGTATCAAGAAAGCCGACCGTCCAGAAAGCAATGGCAAACTACTGGACGTAATTTGCCTAGAGAAACCACACAACAGCCAGGGGCTGTTAGGGTTGATTCTGCAACGTCCTGTAAAGGATACGCAACAACCTTTTTGGATCTGGACTTCGGTTACTTTGTACCGCCTCACCCGGCCCTTCCCCCTCCAAATATAACCTAAACGTTTAATGGGGTTACGATGGCGGTGACACAAGCTTTGATGTGGCTAGACAGTTCCCGTGTTTGTGTGTGTGCTGAGTGATTCTTTGAGCATGATCCGGTGGGTCGAGGCAGGCTGGTTGCGCAGACAGTGGTTTGAGTCATTGCAAAACTCTGCTGTGTGTGCAGTTACCTTCATAATCGTCCAAGGGTATGCAGGCGTTTTTTGTGTGTGTGTGTGTGGTAATAAAAGAGCTGAAAGACTGGCAGGTGTTGCATTAACTGAAGATGGCCATTCCATGGATCACGCCGACATTGTCATTGCCCTTAGAGAGATAGGACGTTCTGAGGATTTTGGAAGCAACGTGTCCACATACAAGAATTGGGAATAAAGATCGGCACAGCCAAGCATGAGAAGCACACCGAACGCACGTCTTGTTAACCAACATAGGACTGGCACTATTAAGCGCGCGTCACTGATGAATATGTTGAGAGGGAAATCTGAGCGCCTATGGATGTGTCAGGAGTGCTGTGAAGATAAATGTATAACTTAATGGGATTGCTGTGATTTCTAGCTGGGGGATTCTCATCCGAATAGTGACTCTTTTGGGTCACCGGGTGGTAATCGTTTAGTATGCGGTGGTAGCAGGGTTTAATTTAATTCACTCAATCTCTCTTCTATTTCTTCAGCATTCAGAGCCGGTGGGGTTTATTGCTGCATATATCATCATCCTGTAGCAAGTCCTTTGCAAAACGTCGCTTTCATCACAGTCTTCAGTATTCATCTTTGTGATTGACCCTCTTGTTTTTCCAGGTTCAAATGTCCGCTGCTTTTGGCTTTACTCGTCGGATTTTCGGGACCAGACGGGGAAGCCATGACTGATACACCCCCCCCCCCTCCATATTGTCACGCTGTGCAACAACTTTATAGGTATCTACCTCGCTCAGAAAGATTATGCTCGTTAGTGTGGTCATCGAAGTCTCGAACTGTGGGATGCCTCGAGTCGATCTCCACAGGTGCATCCCGTGGTGAGTGACAAGCTCAGCATACGATATAAAGATTTTTGCAAACAAGACATGAAAGATACAGGTATTGGAGTCAGTTTAGGGAAACAGAGTGCTATGGGAAGTGTTGCATGTAAAGAAGGGGGAAGTGGGAGAGAGGGTGGTCAAGAAAGGAAGAGAGAGAGAGACAAAGACAGACAGACAGACAGACAGACAGACAGACAGACAGACAGACAGACAGACAGACAGACAGACAGACAGACAGACAGACAGACAGACAGACAGACAGACAGACAGACAGACAGACAGACAGACAGACAGACAGACAGACAGACAGACAGACAGACAGACAGACAGACAGACAGACAGACAGACAGACAGACAGACAGACAGACAGACAGACAGACAGACAGACAGACAGACAGACAGACAGACAGACAGACAGACAGACAGACAGACAGACAGACAGACAGACAGACAGACAGACAGACAGACAGACAGACAGACAGACAGACAGACAGACAGACAGACAGACAGACAGACAGACAGACAGACAGACAGACAGACAGACAGACAGACAGACAGACAGACAGACAGATAGACAGATAGATAGATAGATAGATAGATAGATAGATAGATAGATAGATAGATAGATAGATAGATAGATAGATAGATAGATAGATAGATAGATAGATAGATAGATAGATAGATAGATAGATAGATAGATAGATAGATAGATAGATAGATAGATAGATAGATAGATAGATAGATAGATAGATAACATATATTGCACCCCGTGTGGGTTCCGGGGCCCCATTGTGGGAAAAACAAGAATAGACCCACTGCCTCCCCAAAAGCATGTCGAAAGAGTCGACTAATTGGGGAGTTTCCTTTGAAGTCGGGGTGCATCTGCCGGAGAGGCAAGGAACCAACAGTCTGTATTCAAGAGAATGAGATCTGTAAAACTGATGCACACGCAACACTCAGGTTCTGGAGCAGGACTGCAGTTCAGTAGTGAACGAGCAACCAGAACCTTCCGCCAGAGTGTACAGCTGGTGAACGCGAAGAAGACATATATTGCATAGATATATATTAAAAGCTGAGCATCTGAGAAGAAGCCCGTTAAATACACGCTATGTCAACAATGGTAATGAAATCCCATGCTCTAATTGTGGAATTCTTTTATTAAAGCGAGCAAGTTTCGCTGGTCGTACTAGCCAGTCTCCATGGACTGTGATTCACCTGAATCCCTGTAGCGCAGTTTAAAAGTCATCTGGAAAGACGGAAAGGAGCCAACAAACTGTCGTTCCTGGCGGTATGTGCCACTATGTGTGTGTGGCCGGTGTAGGGTGTCTGAGGAAATAGGGCTTTGGTTGTGTCTTGCACATGGTTAGTGCAGTTGCTACGAACTGTACAAGTTAGAATGTTTATTTATGTCCCCAACAGAGAGAGAGAAAAAAAGTACATCATTCACCTCACTGGTATGTCGATCGACCTGTTTGTCGCCACCGGACTCCATCAGGACGGCAGACAAACAAGGCAGATCCTAGATATCCCGTTCAATGTCCAAACAAAAGTTATAATTCGGGCAGCTGATATGACTACACCAATCAGGTGGTGTAACCTGCAGTCCTATGCGAGTAAAGACGTGCCACCTCACCGAGGATGCGAACACGGGTCTTCCTCATGAGAACCCAAGCGTACCAATCGTACTGCAGCAAAACAAATTAAGTTAAAAAAAGAGAGATTGTTTTGGTCTGAGTTATCTCCGATGGCATGTATCTGGCCACAACTTCCGCTGAAGCTGTGTAACAGAATACTTAAGGCCAGTGTAAATAAAATAAATTCCACGGATTGTTAAAGTTATTTTCGGGTGTGAAGTGATACGTAGTGAAAGTGTGGAAATTCAGACATATTTCATTGGCTACAAGTTATTTCAGTATACTGTGGCTGCAGCGGATCGCTTACGTTGCAGTCGAGTCATAATAACAACATCAATCAACAGCTCCTGTCAAGTGTGTTTATTGGATTGGAGTTTATTCTAGGATCGCTGAACACAATTTGAATTCAGCTGGCAGATGTGTAGTCCCTTGCTTTAAAATTTTTTTTTTTATTTATTGTGGTTCAGGCATAAGTCTACATTATGAGAATTATCACTGGAATTTTAAACAGTTTCTCAGCGTATTGCATACTCATTCAAAGTATCAGTGAGTTGAACTTCACTACTGAATTCAATGTCTCAGGTAGATAAACAAGAGTTGAGTCCATGTCAGTAATCCGATAATGTCATGACAGTTAATTATGCCATCCATAGTGGTTGCGTACACTTCAGTCCACCTCATCAGCTGGGACGCACTGAGACAGGTCGTAACTAGCGGCAGTGAGCTAATGTTCACTCGTAAGCTCAAACCACACTTGCAAAATCACCCCATTGAATTTCACTCACTATGTCCTTAAAAGTTGCCAGTTTTACTTGTAACTGAACTCATGGGTTAGAATCATCATTGTCAGAATGGACGTTTTAAAGTTCATTTTGGTGTCATTCCTTGATGGAACATAATAGCGTTATGATTCAGAAAGTTGCTTGAAAATATGGCATGTGATCAGCATATCGAAGGGTGATTGTAAGGATAAAATAAACTGTTTATACACAAGCTGTAAATAAATGCTGGCAAACAGTTTTGGCATCCAGACAGGGAAACATAAGTGCCATTAGTGAATATGTTGTTTCGGAGGGAAATCAGATTATTCACTTCATTGTCCCGACTGTTGACTTTTAAACGCTGTTCTTTATTGAGGACACTAGTGTTAATCCTGCTGCTTAGTTTAATTTCTAGCTTGTTTTTTCTGTATCATATCATGGACTCTGGAATTCGCACACCGAGAGCAAATCCACCAGTACCTCACATAAGATGTTTAGTTGAGCCTTCATTAAGAGATTCTGGAACTGAATTGCCAACAAAACATAAGACAGATGAACGTTTACGTCTAGCTCATCGAGCATTGCTAATCACAGAGGTGCAGAACTCCAAAAATGGTCAGAAAATTAGGTATTTCCTGAGTTCTTTGAGAATTGATGTCAAAGTGGAATTAAAGTCCAGAACATTGCCAGCACTTTCTAATAAAAAATCTGGTCGCTTCGCTGTTATTGTCTTTGAAAATTACAATTCCTACCTGGAAATGGATAGTTGGAACAGACAGTTAATTGATAAATATTGTCATGACTACCATGTTGGCATCATAGGATTTGTGAAGCCATTTGAAGACACTGTAGGGATGGTTAGACATGTCGATGGTTATCATATAACATTTCAGTACAATCTAGAACTGGAGGATTACAAGCCTAATTTAGACTCAGCTGTTTGGAGGGTTCTGAGGCCAGGTGATGCTTGGAGAGGTTTTCTCCCTGACAAGTGGACAGTTTTTCATAGTAACCATAACACTTATCAGCCACTAGCATTTTCAAAACTTTCATCAAACTTTTTGGAGTTTGACACAGGAGAAGCCAAAGACTTACAGACTTTTAAGTATGTCACAGCTGTTCTTGATCTTGGAAAAATTGATGGGATATCAAAGATTCTAATAGGAAATGATCTCAGCTTTTGGTTGCATACATTAGTGTTGGTAGATGCTCTTTCTTATTTATCATTTGGGAAGCTGGAGCTACAGCTGGAACGGTACATACAAGTTGATGTTGACGACATCTTTGTTGGAAAAGAAGGCATCCGGATGAAAGTTCCTGATGTTGAAGTAAGTACTAGACTATACAGTCTATGTGATAGTTTTAATGATATGTGTGTTTGTATTTATGTGTGTGTGTGTGTTAGGGTTCATATGTGTTTTTGTGTGTAAAATAAATGAATATGATGCTTTTATGTCCATGTATAAATTCCATTGGCATTGGAACTCTTTGTTCACCGCTAAAGATGTGGAATAGCACTTTTAGGAATGTTATGAAACTAGCATAGTAATCTGTAATTCTTAAATTTTCTAGTAAATAGTTTCAGTATTTGCTATGATATTGATTATTTCACCCACTGAGTGCTAATTGGAAGCTGCCATGGTGTAGCAGCTAGATGCTCGCCTGCTGATCAGAAGTTCTTATGTTCGAATCTGAACAGTGTCTGACTTTTTTTCTTCTTCAGAAATGGCCTTGGTCCCCAGGTCGACCCAGCCTTCACTAGGTACCAGGTAAAGTCCTGGGAAATAAAGGCAGCCGGTGTAATGTTGACCATATCACCAGCCAGGTGCAGATTGGTCAATAAAATACAGCTGTCGCTTTATAAGCCCAGTATGCTTGAAGGCTTGGAAAAGGATCATTTTCTTTACTTGACTTGACTAAGTTCTGATTGGTCTATAAAAATGAGTCGAGTTAATGCCCAGTATGCCACCACTGTTAAGAAGTGTCCTTTACTTTTTTTAAATATTGGAAATATATTTCAGGAACTGTGTTCTTCTTTCTTAAAACAACTGAAAACCCATATTAATGATAAAACATACTTACAGGATGTTTCTAAACAAGTCACACCTGTGCCTAAATGAAAACACTTTTTATGGTTATCGAGGAAACAGAAAGAGCACTTGTGGGAATGTCTCAAGTGCAGTGTTGTCAATTCCTGATTGATTCATTTATTTGAATCTGTGCCTGTCCCTCATATTGCATTGGCTGACTCAATTTATCATCATCACATGTTCCTTGCCAAATTTCATAGGCTTTCATGTTTGTCCAGATGTCAGTTCTAGGTGTTATGAACCAGTCCTAACATTTCTTTGTTCCAGTATCTGACGTAATTTTTCTTTTTGTCTCTTCTGTCACTTATCTCTCCAGTCATCTCAGTATTCTCAAATGACTTCACCACTGGACACTGCAGATTCAACAGACGCTCAAAGAAATTAGGTGTGACCAAAACAATTCTCTGCCAGTGTCTTCATGCTGGTTCCAGAACGTGTCTTGTAAGACTGTCCTCTCTTGATGGAGCAGCATGTGACAACACCCTGTAGACCTGACAGCTAAACTTTTTTGGCCCACAATGGATTATGTGCATGACCAGAAATCGCTGAAGAAGAAAAAGAAGAAATGATGTGACCAAACAGTTGTCAGTTTCTTATAGTTTCATGTTAATGGATTTTAGATATTTAAAAAAATTTTTTTATTTTTTTTATTTTGTTTTCATCTTTTTCTTATTTATATTTTTAGTTCTTGTTTTCATCCTTTCTGTAAGTTTGTTTCATGATTTAGTGTATTGCCAGATTAACATTTATCTGAAAGTTTACCGTAATGTTGACCACATTATCCACCTAGTGCCAATTGGTCTATAAATAAAGTCTGGTCTAGAACCATATGCCCAAATGCACAGTGGGCATTAAAGAGGTCTTTAATTGTGACTGAAAGACATATATTTTCTATATTAATAACAATGTTATGCAGTTTAAAGAATGAATCAGCTGAAAGCAGAGTAATGTAAGGGAGAACATAGGGTCAGCTGTAAAGGATAGGAAGGTTTGGCACGAGTTAGTAGGGCCTGTTTTCCTCTGCGGGATAGAGGGAAGAAAAAGAAGAAGAAAATATTCGTTGCTTTCTGATTCTGAATCTGCTGTTACTACTGACACTTGATGGGAACATTGTATTTAAACTTTTTCTCTCACATATTTAAGGAATGAATTACTTTTTCTACATTCTAGGCATTAGTCACTGCTCAGGAACGTCTTCAAACTGAAATAGAGGGATTCCAGTTTAATTTAGGCTTTTCAGGTGGATTCTACCTCTATGGCACAGAAGAGGAAGATTCTGGAGATAGAAAATTAATAGGTGAGTTGTGCGTGTAATTAGTGTTTGAATTTGTTTCTTTGCCCATGTTAACAACACAAAATAATTTTTATTTACAGAACTACAGAAATTCTTGTCTTTACAGATACAGAAATTCTTTTCTTTATAGAACTAAAGAAATTCTTTTCTTTGTACGTGTAAATACTACGGAAATTCTTTTGACAGAACTACAGAAATTCTTTTCTTTGCCTATGTAAAAACTACAGAAATTCTTTTCTGTACACATGTGAGCACTACAGAAATTGTTTACTTTGCCCAAGTAAACACTACAGAAATTTTCTTTAATCATGTAAACACGGCTGAAATTTATTTCTTTACCATTCTGCAAACACTGCAGAAATTCCTTTCTATATTCCCTTCATGTAAATTTAGCAAAAATTTTCTTTTCCCTTCATGCAAACACTGTGGGAAGTCTTTTCTTTGTCTATGTAAACCTTACATAAATTCTTTTCTTTGCCCTTGTAAACACTGCGAAAATTATTTTCTTTACTCAGATAAACTGATTGAATTTTGTTCTCTGCCAACTCCATTTCAACCTGTATAGAGGAAATAGCATTTCTATCATGTACGTGACTTCCATTTTAAAGATTGTGACGAGTGGCTGTGATAATGTTCACCATCTACACGTATTCTGTCAGATTGTTATGCTGTCTTGGACTGCTATTTTATGTGCATTTTCAGTGCAGGATACATTTAATTTATTTGTGTTTGGGATTATCGTGCATTATGTTTGTGCTATGTCAAAGCAGGATGGCCACTGACATAAATCGCAGTCTTCACCGGCTTGCTGTGCTCGCAGTGTTTTGATTGCTGCTGTCCGCTTACGGTTCAACAGAATTCGTAAGCAGGGAACTGCAGCCGTCTAGAGAGCAGATTTGAAAAATGTCCCCAGAAACAGTTTTTGTCAATAATTTTTTTGTTTGATCAATTGTCCATCAACCGAGACTCCTACACTATGACTGCTTAGGTTCATATGTCTATCTATCGAGTGTCCTACCGTGTGACAGCAAAGGTTCAAATGTTCCCAGCTCAAAGATCTTACTTTATGACACACAAGGTTAAATCGTTCACTACCAGTGGCTACACTCGTCAGAGTGTAAGGACCTTACAGGAGAGCCATACCTGATACGTGCTTCCTAAAAATGCATCAAAAAGTTCCAGTGGCACCTACATGAAAGGGGCCATTGTCAAAGAGAAATGTTGAACTTACTGAATAAATGGGATGCTCATTTGTGCAGGGAATCAAAAGTTTCAGGTCTGTAGACTGCTTTCTGGGGATCCCTAAGGATATGGCACATAATGAGTTGATGGCTCAATAAATGGATGTGAGGATAAGCATTTACAAATGTACCATAAAACTAAACTAACCGGAAATACCACTCCCAATAATAAGTGCCCAAAGATGTCAGATGTGTTGTAGTTCAAATGATGCAAATATCACATCTGTGCTATAAACACATTTACATCACTCAAACAAACAATTAAGTATCCTGTACCTGAGAGCTGAACTTAGTAAAGTGGCATGCCAAACAAATGTACTGCACTCCATTGGGTGTAGCAAACAAATATACTGCACTTCAGCGAGTGCTGCTTCTACCCCACCTTGGGTACCAGAAAATTAAACCCGATAAACTTCGTAAGGAAAAGGGGACAATGTGCATAGGAAGAAATTTAAATAAAACAATAAAACTGCATAAGGGCCATCCAGTCTATTAGAAAGGAAAAAATCAGGTCAGAAATTATTACTCATTTGACCGGCATAATTCAAATAAGTAATTTCTGACCTGATTTTCAAACAAGCGCAGGTCATAATTCTACACCTCAGGAAAGGAGATAACAAACGTAGAAAGCCTATGTACACGCTTTGTCTATGTAGTTTGCTGCTGTGCCCAAGTGAAATGAGCTTCCTAACAGCAGAGCATATCCTGCATGACTGTCCCTTGTGCTGCATATTAAGAAGAGAATATTTGCTCAGTGAGCAGGTACAAAACTTGAAACTATGGAGCTAAAAGAGAAATCCAAAACATTTAGTCAGTCTCTTCTTCTGCGCTTGTTTGAAAATGTATATGTATTTTGCCCATTTACAACATAGCTGCTTTGTTTGTGCCTTTGGGTAGATGCATCCAACTTCGGCAGGCATTTGTTGCCAGGGTTAGCCTTCCTGGCAAGCAACAGTGGTTCTCATCTTTTTTAATGCCGCAAGGGTTTAATACAGTTCCTTGTGTTGTGGTGACCCCCAACCATAAAATTATGTTTGTTGCCACTTCATAACTTCAGTGAATATGTGTTTTCCTATGGTCTTAGGTAACCCCTGTAAAATGGTTGTTTGACCCCCCCCCCCAAAGGGTCGCGACCCACAGGTTGAGAACCGCTGGTATAAATGGATGATCTGGTCACTATCAGGCCAAGTAATTTTTACATTTCTTGGTACCCATTTAAGGCTCATTTGAACTGGAAGCCAGAACATAGACATAGGTGACTCAGTTCCAGTCCTTGGTGAGGTCCTAATTTTTTTATGTCTTGGGCAGAAATAAAATCCTAACTGGCACTGCCATAGCGTGGCGACAGGACTAGCCATGCTGCCCTAAATCCTTAGTCTTGAAGACCCTCCCTTCCCACACCATTAACACAGCAGAAGTGGTGAAAACAAATAGTAATGGCAGTTTTTTTGGGAGGGCAGAATTGAAAGTCCAGGCTGTTGTACCAATTTTTAAAATTATCCTCAGAGGAAATTCAAAAGAATGATCATTAGGCTGGCATGGTGCTAGTAACTAGATTTTTTTGGGGTATCCATTTTAGGCTTAGTTGAACCGGAAGTCAAGGTCATTAAAAAGAGAATCATCTCTAAGGGGGTTTCTTCTTATTAGCATTCACCTGGTGTAAACTGCAGTGGGAAGTTCTGGTTGTTAGTCTGCTTCTGGACTTTCAATCTAGTTCCAGAACTTGAGAGTTTTGCATGCACATGTTTTTTTTAGAGATCTGGCTTATTCGTATGCAGACTTTGACACCTCTAAGATATGTGCACTCCGAAATCAAACAAAACACACCTAATTAGTTGCCTTTATGGCATGCTTGATGGGAGCAGTGGGTCTGTTCTTTCCTCCCAAAAAATCAGGCACAGGAACCCGCATAACGATAAGACGATTTGAACAGATAACCATCATGTTAGTTGGCAAATCTTCTATCCAGTTCACTCCCGTGGCTGCCTGCTTTTATATCAGCATTAATTTTTTTCATCTGAAAATGTATTTCTGAATTTGCTCATAAAATTAACGACTAGTTTTCCCTGTTCTGGTGCATCCATTTAGGGTGAAAAACTATAGACCCACTGGCCACCTGAAAGGTATGTCATAAAAGACGACTAATGAGGAATTTTTTTCCTTTCAAAGTTGAAGCACATCTGCCTGAGAGGCAAGAAACCAACAGTCTGCACACAAATAAGCCAGATTTGTAAGATGGTTGTCCTTGCAAAACTCAAGTTTTGGAACAAGACCAAAGTCATCAAGTGGAGGAAGAAGCAGAACTTTCCATCAGAGTTTACAGATGGGGTGCACTAATACAAATAATAATTTGCTTGTGAAAGTTTACTTATCTGTAATAAATGCTGTTTTACAGAACATCGTAAAAAATTCCGCTGGTTCAGCCATATGTACAGACACGAACAACCTCATAAGTTTACTCAGGATGTCATAGAGAAGTCAATGAGGGCTAACAAACAGTTTGCTGAGGTATGATCATTGCAATCATTAACACTCACTTCTCATTATTTTCATTGCCTTTTATTTTCCCAGTAGTACAAATGTCTCAAACAACTGAAGACGGTTTGGATTTTTGCAGCTAAAGTTTTCTAAAGCCAATCGAGGTTCCAACAGCACCGCAGATGGCTCACCCCATAAATCCTCCGCTCCTGTACCAGGGAAAATCACACAAAACGTCCTTGACTGTCGCATCTGAAAACTGGTGAAAATATTTGTCAGACCTAGCAAATTCTTGAAGCTTGCTCATGCAGAATTAAAATGCACAAGGCAGTTGTCAGATGTGCTGCCACTAATTGCCCCACACCAGAGTTACAGCTCACTATTTCAGTCACACATTATGTCATGAAAGCCAGCATTGCAGTCACTAAACTACATACCATTCTAAACCTAATCGACCAACAGCCATTTAAATGCAGTCAACAACACGCTGCAGGCACAACAGAAAAAACATTTCATTTGAAGTCCACAGCTTTTCACACCAAGCACTCAACTTATCTGGATGACAGAACCTTTAAATTTTTTCTATGGAATGAGATAACTAGTATTACTCCAAGATTCTTTAGTTACCTGTTACAACATGAATGATATATTCTTCTTTTTTCATTGTCTCACTGATACCAGATTGTAGTCCAGTGTCATGGTTTTCTTATATTTCTCTTGCACTTCTATTGTGGCTTGTGATGGATTTGTTCTGGCCACAATTATTTTTTTTTTGGTTTCTTTTATGCCTGTCTCATGTTAGCTTTTCATTTTTTGGAGGCCAGGCTTTATCTTTTCCATATTTAGATTATCGAGGTCATTTATCAGCCTTTCTTCTGTGTGCACATGTGTGTGAGTGAGTGTGTGTGTGTAGATGTGTAGGTGAGTCTTGGACAATTCATTTGATTGTAACAAATTGGCCATAGCATTGTAGTTTGTGTGTTTCAAGAGGGTACTACTGAAGCATTGTCTCCTTCACTAAAATTTATAATTCTTCATGTGGTTTATTTTAAAAAAAAAAAAGATGTTTTTTTTTCTTATCTTTGTGTTTTTTCTTCTCCTTGTGTTTTCTTTTTCTCCTTGTGTTTTCTTCTTCTCTTTGTGTCTTCTTCTTCTCTTTGTGTCTTCTTCTCTTTGTGTCTTCTTCTTCTCTTTGTGTCTTCTTCTTCTCGTTGTGTCTTCTCCTTCTCTTTGTCTTCTTCTTCTTTGTGTTTTCTTTTTCTCCTTGTGTTTTCTTCTTTTCTTTGTGTCTTTTTCTTCTCTTTGTGTCTTCTTCTTCTCTTTGTGTCTTCTTCTTCTCTTTGTGTCTTCTTCTTCTCTTTGTGTCTTCTTCTTCTCTTTGTGTCTTCTTCTTCTCTTTGTGTCTTCTTCTTCTCTTTGTGTCTTCTTCTTCTCTTTGTGTCTTCTTCTTCTCTTTGTGTCTTCTTCTTCTCTTTGTGTCTTCTTCTTCTCTTTGTGTCTTCTTCTTCTCTTTGTGTCTTCTTCTTCTCATTGTCTTCTCATTGTCTTCTCCTTGTGTTTTCCTCTTCTCCTTGTGTTTTCTTCTTCTCCTTGTGTTTTCTTCTTCTCTTTGTGTTTTCTTCTTCTCTTTGTGTCTTTTCTTTCTCTTTGTCTTCCACTTCACTGAGTGTGGACACCAGCGGAAAGTCCTGATTGATCATCTGTCCAGACTTTTCTCTTGTTCTAGGACTTGACTGAGTGTTGTACGCGGATCCATTTTTCCAGCTGTAGCTTATTATTATGCTCAGAATGTTGGTCCCATACCTCTCAGACAGTCATGCTGTGACTTAAAAAGTTTTGTCAGTCCTATGTACTTTCACCAGAACCCATTTCTAGGATGGCCGTATAGAAGGATATGTCAGTCCTACATACAGTCACCAGAACCCATTTCTAGGATGGCCATATAGAGGTGTAGAAGGATATGTCAGTCCTACATACAGTCACCAGAACCCATTTCTAGGATGGCCATATAGAGGTGTAGAAGGATATGTCAGTCCTACATACAGTCACCAGAACCCATTTCTAGGATGGCCATATAGAGGTATAGAAGGATATGTCAGTCCTACATACAGTCACCAGAACCCATTTCTAGGATGGCCATATAGAGGTTTAGAAGGATATGTCAGTCCTACATACAGTCACCAGAACCCATTTCTAGGATGGCCATATAGATGTGTAGAAAGCGCTTGACCAGTAAGATCCTGGTCTGGTGGTGGTGCACTTCTGCATTCCCCAAAAAAGGTTACTCTTCAGTCAATGATCTGACTGTAATCAGTAAGCTGACTGTAATCTAGTTATTTAGTTGCGTATCCTTTACAGGACATTTCAGAACCAATCCCAGCATTTTTTGTTTGCTGTTGTGGTTCTTCTAGGCACATTTTCGTCCAGTAGTTTGCCATTGCTTTCTGGAATCTAATGCAATCCACTCGTAATCTACTCAGACTGTAATCTACTCATGTTTATTTCCTTATAAATGTCAGATGCTGCCTGCACCTGGTTTATTCTGTTTACCAGACACAAATGTTCATTGAATACATGTATAAAAATGAAATTTCAAAAAAAACAAATTTTTAGAGACAAGAAATTTTGTTTAAAAGTTATCAGAAGTAATAATTAATATTGGAACTTCTGTAGAATATCCTCATCAAAAAGTAGATGCAGAAGGTAAGAAATGGAGGGAAACTATTTTTGTTGACATGAGAACATCTCATGGGTGTTTTTGTTGTTTTTTTTTTTTTAAATTTATAAATTTCAGTTTTGTGTCATTTATTAGGAGTTCAATTTTAAAAAATTTATTAAGAACTTGTATTTTTGAAGATTACATTTCAAATTGTATTAATTTGTTGAAATAGTGTGTATGATTGTTATCAATAAGTGGTGCTAAAGACTGTTCCCAGTGGGTATTTCTTTTATTGTTTTATTTGCAGATTTGTATTTAGTTGTACATATTGACTTTACACATTTTACATGTCCTATATTGTTGTACTGCACATTTCTGTTACATTAAGGGTTTTCATCCACTGTTATTGGTCTTCTTTTGGCCAAATATTTAACTGTTTTTCAATATAAATTTTAAAAATAAGAATTTAAACCCTATGTTTATGTGTACTTATGTTAAGTTATTAGCAGCTGTGTGAAGAGGTGGGAGCCGTGGTAGCTAGACACTTGTCTGCAGGCCTGAAAATCTGGTATTTAAATCCGCACAGGGTGGATATTGAGTACATCTGCCTTAGAGGCAAGGGACCAACAGTGTGAACTGTTGTGGAACTAGTGTGAAGTGAAAAAAAAAATGGATAAGACATGGGATGAACTGCTTGTGAAGAAATATAATGGACACAGAGCAAGGGAATGACCACGCAAGAGATGGAGGGACACCATCAAGAGCAACCCAAAAGAAATGAACACCAACTTGTACAATGCATTGGAAAAAGCACACAAACGATCCTTACATCTTCCCCCAACACCTCACTAAAGTAAATGGTGGAAAAGAATAGAAGAAGAAGAAGAAATATTGATAATGACCGGTTTAACTCTTTCATTTGTAGAAGGATTTGCAGCTGGTGCCTGGTTGGGAAATAACCCACTGTGAAGCATCATGAATTGATACTTAAAAAGCGTAATACACTGTTGAAATGGCCATTAGGGAAGCCAGATTTGTTAACTATGCCATGACCAGATGTACAAAGTTAGACAACCCATTATGCTATGGTTGGAACACATCACGTCACACATACCACAGATCACGTGACACATCGTGCCACACATCATGCTACACATCATACCACACATCATGCATTGCTTGGGACTAAAGCAAAGGATCTTCTTCTTTTTCTGTATTCACCTTACTAAGGTAGCTGGCACATTGTGCTTTACAATTAGCCTGCAATATATGTGCCTTTCAGCCCAACACGGCCCATTTCAGCAAACTGTAAATTAGTTACCTCTTACAATATGCTCAATAATGACCACAAAGTCTATTCATTTCCTCCCTAAATAAGAATCCACTGGGTGGTTAAGGTCTCTTTTCACACCAATTGGTCCATCTAACATGTGGTGTTAGATAATGACCACACAGTCTATTCATTTCCTCCCTAAATAAGAACCCACTGGGTGGATAATTTCTCTTTTCACATCAATTGGTCCATCTAACATGTGGTGTTAGATAATGACCACACAGTCTATTCCTTTCCTCCCTAAATAAGAACCCACTGGGTGGATAAGGTCTCTTTTCACATCAATTGGTCCATCTAACATGTGGTGTTAGATAATGACCACACAGTCTATTCATTTCCTCCCTAAATAAGAACCCACTGGGTGGATAAGGTCTCTTTTCATATCAATTGGTCCATCTAACATGTGGTGTTAGATAATGACCACACAGTCTATTCATTTCCTCCCTAAATAAGAACCCACTGGGTGGATAAGGTCTTTTTTCACATCAGTTGGTCCATCTAACATGTGGTGTTAGATAATGACCACACAGTCTATTCATTTCCTCCCTAAATAAGAACCCACTGGGTGGATAAGGTCTCTTTTCACATCAATTGGTCCATCTAACATGTGGTGTTAGATAATGACCACACAGTCTATTCATTTCCTCCCTAAATAAGAACCCACTGGGTGGATAAGGTCTCTTTTCACATCAATTGGTCCATCTAACATGTGGTGTTAGATAATGACCACAAAGTCTATCCATTTCCTCCCTAAATAAGAACCCCCTGGGTGGATAAAGTCTCTTTTCACATCAATTGGTCCATCTAACATGTGGTGTTAGATAATGACCACACAGTCTATCCATTTCCTCCCTAAATAAGAACCCACTGGGTGGATAAGTTCTCTTTTCACACCAATTGGTCCATCTAACATGTTGTGTTAGATAATGACCACACAGTCTATCCATTTCCTCCCTAAATAAGAACCCACTGGGTGGATAAGTTCTCTTTTCACACCAATTGGTCCATCTAACATGTGGTGTTAGATAATGACCACACAGTCTATCCATTTCCTCCCTAAATAAGAACCCACTGGGTGGGTAAGGTCTCTTTTCACACCAATTGGTCCATCTAACATGTGGTGTTAGATAATGACCACACAGTCTATCCATTTCCTCCCTAAATAAGAACCCACTGGTGGATAAGGTCTCTTTTCACACCAATTGGTCCATCTAACATGTGGTGTTAGATAATGACCACACAGTCTATTAATTTCCTCCCTAAATAAGAACCCCCTGGGTGGATAAGGTCTCTTTTCACACCATTTGGTCCATCTAACATGTGGTGTTAGATAATGACCACACAGTCTATTAATTTCCTCCCTAAATAAGAACCCCCTGGGTGGATAAGGTCTCTTTTCACACCAATTGGTCCATCTAACATGTGGTGTTAGATAATGACCACACAGTCTATTCATTTCCTCCCTAAATAAGAACCCACTGGGTGGATAAGGTCTCTTTTCACATCAATTGGTCCATCTAACATGTGGTGTTAGATAATGACCACACAGTCTATTCATTTCCTCCCTAAATAAGAACCCACTGGGTGGATAAGGTCTCTTTTCACACCAATTGGTCCATCTAACATGTGGTGTTAGATAATGACCACAAAGTCTATTCATTTCCTCCCTAAATAAGAACCCCCTGGGTGGATAAGGTCTCTTTTCACACCAATTGGTCCATCTAACATGTGGTGTTATATCTGTGTAGCTGAAAAAAAAAGAGCTAAAACTGCTTCTGTGTATGTTTCTAGCATTGTGCTGACCGGTTTCCCTGAAAATAAGACCTACCACAAAAATAAGTCTTAGCAAAATTGTTCAGATGCTTCTAATATAAGCCCTACCCCCAAAAATTAAGCCTTGGTTATGATCATCAGCTAGTATGAGAGCCTTGTTTACTGATAGCTGTGTTACTGGTGCACTACGCGCAGGATACATGGACAGTAAATGCTCATTTAAAGAAAACTTTATTGCTGGACATGATGGGGCAACTGTTCTACAGGAAAGGGTGTTTCAAGAAAATTCAGGCTGGAATTTTGGATTTTGAAAGTTATGACAATGTTCCAGAAGAAGTTTGAACAACAGATCAACATCATGGCACACAGGTTGTAACCCATAAGTGCTCCTTCTTCTAACATGAGTTTGAAGAAGCTCAGCGCAGTGCACAGGCTGTGAAATACTTTTGGATTCATGGGCAACATTTGGTCTCTACAATATAACACAGACTTTGTGCTATGGAGAGGACGAAAATTTTTATTCCTGGTTGTTATTGGCGGGTGGGTCTTGCAAGTAATACTCGTCATCGCCATGGGCTGTGAGTTCCATGCCTCCTCAAAACTCAACATAACACTATCATCTGGAAAGACGGAAAGGTGTCAATCGATTTATTCGACCTGACCAGCTCAGGTCCAAACTTTGCCCGGGCAGGGTCGTTAGGTTACTCTTTTCGATTTCCAACTGCCAAGGGATTTTTCACCTGTGCAGCAATACACATGGGCGTCTGATCTCACTACCCAGAAGTCCAAATGAAAAAAATCCCAGTCCTCACCGGGACCTGAACCCGTGACCTCTAGGACACAAAGCCGACACCATACCTCGAGACCACGCAGCCCACCCTCCCCTTTTTTCCAGAAGAATGACTATATTTGAATCAGTATAAAATGTTGTACATGAATAAATGTTGCATCTTGAAATAAAAAATGAGACCTGGACTTATTTTCTGGGAAATGCAGTATATGAATTGTTCATTTTTTGTGTGCTTCCAGGAGCATGATATTCAGGTGTATAGCCAGTACGCTGTGGCTCCTCATCACTCTGGGGTATACCCGGTGTATGATCCTTTGTTTACTTCCTGGAGAGAAGTCTGGGGAGTGAAAACCACCAGCACAGAGGAGTACCCTAAATTAATGCCCCCTTGGAAAAGAAGGGGCTTCATTCACAGAGGAATCATGGTGAGGAGATAGTCATTCTAGAAGTTAAATTGGCCGTAGAAAGCAATTTCACTTGAAGAGTTGAGTGGGTAACATGTTTCATGTTTTTTGTTTGTTTTATAAATTCAAGCAGACTTGGTACGATTTTAAAGTAAAAGTAAGTAAGGGACCCTTTTCCACACCTTTATGCGTATAGGGCATATAGTGCTAGACCTATATTTTATAGACCAATTGGCACAAGAAGGGTTATGTGGTCAGCATCACACTGGCCGCCTTTGCTTCCCAGGACTGCACCCATTACCCACTCAAGGCTGGGTCGACCTGGGAGCCAAGGTCATTTTTGAAAAAAGTCCGGCTCCCCCAAGGAACGAACCCACGATCTTCTGATCCATGGCAAGCGTCTTGGTACGATTGAGGTAAGAAAACTATACTTTCCCTGACCTGGAGTTATTTCATTATGTCTTGTAAAGCAGTGTTCTTCAACTTTTATTTTATGTCTGCAGATCTGTAAAAATAGAAATATGTCACAGACTGATTGGCATCTTAAAACACACACACACACACACACACAGTGTAGATAGCATTCTTTAAATGAAATCCCTGTGTGGCTTCTGGGGACCTCATTGTGAGGGAACAAACAAGAGTAGACCCACTGCCTCCCTACAGGCATGTCATAAGAATCAGCTGATTAGGAGTTTCCTTCAAAGTTAGAGAGTGCATCTGCCTGAGATTAAGGAACCGACAGTCCGTTTACCAATAAACCAGATATGTAAAATGGCTGTGCATGGGAAACTCGTGTTTTGGAGCAACACTACGTCCAGAACTAGACAAATAATCAGAACTTCCTAGTGTGGTTTACAATAGGTGTACTTGAAGAAGAAGATTGATTAAATCATGACTGGCTGGAAATTTTATGTTGACCTACCAGGAATTTAGCAGTGACTATTACAGTTTTGCTAACAGGTTGAAGAACATTGGTGTAAAGTATATGCAACAATCTTGAATGGTTCAGCATATGCTGACTTCCTTGGTGAAAAAAAATGAATTTAAATTGAGCCTATATATTCACTTCATGAGGTGTCTGTTTCTTTGCATTACCATAAAGTAGGAGGCCGCGTTTGCGCAGTCGATAGTAGGTTCGCTTTCAAATCAGCTGTGACTCGCTGCAGCCCCCGGCCAGTGTTCGAAAGTGGGGTTAACACTCTAGGGTAAATGGAGGAACGTCGCTGTAGCTACTGAGTTGGGTGCAGATGGCGACACAGGCGGACAGTTTCTTTTCAGCTGTCTGTACTTGTGACAGAGCACTTGTGGTTTATAACCGCATGCAATGACGCTGGTTCACACCTCCCGACTTTACCTTTTACCATCACCATAATGCAGGGCTATTCAACTGACAGCTCGTGGGCTGAATTCAGCCCACAGAGACCTAGTAAGTAGCTGTCTGATCATTGCCAGTTGTTCTGTATTAATGATCTTTTTGTGCTGGGGCCTCTGGCCTGACGATCCCCATATTTCCAAATTGTGGCCTCTTGAGTAAACTTAGTTGCATAGCCGTGCCATCAAGACATGCATAGTTGACCCTTATTAAACCATTTGTGGAATCCTTTTTTTTTTGTGTTGTCACTTTCTGCCTCATCTTATTCTTTTCTAACTTTTGCCTTACTTTTTTCCTTTGTTTTCCATCTAATTGTCAGTTGTTGTTTTTTTGTCTTTATCCTCTTTTCCTCCTTTTTTGCTTTTTTCTGCCTCCACCCCCATTCTTCTACTTTTATTCTTCTTCCTTTTCCCCCCTTTTTATCTACTCTTTTTTCTCCCTTCTTCTCTGCAGTTCCTTTATATAGCACCATAAATTATTAATTCTTCCATATCTCTCTTCCTACCTACCTTCTTTCCTTCCTTTATTCCTCCTTTGCTCCAACCCATCTCTTCTTTCGTTCCGAGAGAATATATTATATTTGTGTTTATTTTGTAGGTGCTGCCAAGACAGACCTGTGGCCTGTTTACAACAACAGTGTTCAGTTCAGACTACAAGGGCGGCCTGGCAGGTCTTGATGCCAGCATTCAAGGAGGAGAGATATTCCAGACCATTTTAACCACACCAGTAAGTTGCTTTATAAGTAGATTTGGCAGCTTATAGGGAGCCGTTGCAGTGTAGCAAGTATGACTCTTGCCTCAGGTCAGAAAATGGAGGGTTCAATTTTGCATCAAGCCAGATTTTTTTCAAAAATAACCTTCTCCCAAATTGACTCAGTCTTAAATGGGTACCAGGTTAAGTCCGTATAAAATATAGGTCTAGCTCTGTATGCCCAATATGCCTAAAGGCATGGAAAAGGGTAATTTACTTACTGTATGTCTAAGTACAGGGAAAAACATCCTTCTTGTGCAGTTTATGCAGAACAGAGCATTATTTTGGCCTGTGTTAGTTGTATGTCTTATACAGAATATAACAGACCAACCCCAGGGTTTTGACCTGGTTTGTGGTTTAGCTAGACCATGTTTCTACATTCTGTAATTTGTTTCTGAATGGTTCAGTGTCTATAAGTTAGTCAAAATCAAGGCAAAGGGATCTGCTGCCAAATCACATGCAGCTGAATTGAACCCTATATGTGCAAATTATGTTAACTCCTTCATGGGGGGAACAAGAATAGACCCACTGCCTTACCATGGGAATCGACAACTTAAGGAGCATCAGTGGAAGTTGGAGTGCATCTGCCCCAATAAACCAGATCTGTAAACAGAATGTGCACACACTCAAAGACCAAAGTCCAGGAGTGGATGAACAGTCAAAGCTTTCCACCGGAGTTTATAGCTGGTGAATATTAAGAAGAAGAAATAGAAGAAGAAGCTTTCCCCCGTGTGGGTTCCGGGGCCCTACTATGGGAAAAACAAGAATAGACCCACTGCCTACCCAAAAGCATGTCGTAAGAGTCGACTAATTGGGAGCTTCCTTCAAAGTCGGAGTGCATCTGCCTGAGAGGCAAGGAACCAACAGTCTGCATACAGATCTGTCGAATAGATGCACACGCAACACTTAGGTTCTGGAACAGGACTGCAGTCCAGAAGTGGATGAACAACCAGAACTTTCCACCGGAGTTCACAGCCGGTGAACGCGGAGAAGAAAGAAGAAGAAGCTTGAAGGCCTATAATTTTAAATTAAAAAATAACAAACTTTGAATTAATTGACTTTTGTTTAATTCTCAGATCAGCATTTTCATGACCCATTTGTCCAATTATGGCAATGATCGTCTGGCTCTCTATATGCTGGAGAGCGTGGTGAAGTTCGTCAAATGTTGGACAAATCTCAGACTTGTTAGTGTCTCGCCCGTTGAACTTGGGCTCAAATATTTTGAGATGTATCCGCAGGATAAAGATCCTCTGTGGACAGTAAGTATATCACTAGGCTGCTAATAGACAGTAAAATATAGCACAGTTACTGGAGGACAGTGAATACAGCACTTTGTTACTGTGGTGGGGGGGGGGGGGGAACAGTAAGTAACTGGGAGATTATAAGTATAGCACTATGTTGCTAATAGACAATCAAATGCAGAATTCTTGTACATGTGGACAGTAAGTATACCACTATGCTGCTAATAGACAATAGAGTATTGCAATCTGGTACTAGTGGACAGTAAGTATAGCACTGTGTTACTCATAGACAGTAAAATATAGCACAGTTACTAAAAGGTTTACACCTAGGTCTCCTGTTTGAGAGCCTGGCATTCTAACAGAAGGCCAGCTGTTCCCCTGTTACCAATAGACGGACAAAGTAACATTGTTATTATTGGGCGGTAATGCAGTAAAACTCAGTGACCTGAAATTTATACTGTTTTATGGGTTAATGAAGTGAAATAACATCAAGGAGTTGACTCACTACCTCCATAACAAGCATGTCATAAAAGCCGACTTATTAGGGGTTTGAAGTCTGAGTACATCAGCCTAAGAAGTGAGGAACCAAGAAGTGTGCATACACATAAGCCAGATCTGTAAAAAGGATGTACTCAAATTAATTTTATTTCCAACGGGTTACAAATTGGGCATGCAGGCCCATCTTACATTCAGCCCTTTCAAACACTCATCTTTCACACGGCGGTTGTATTTTATTAAATCCTGCGTCTGTTATTCATCATGCAAACTTCAAGTTCTGGAACACGACTATATACCAAAACTTTCCTCCAGAGCGCAAAAAAAAAAAAAAAGTACAGTGTACAGTACAAATGTCTTTCCAAACACGGAATCAGCAAAACCAGTCTTAGCTTTATTTTCAAAGTCCACCCCTTCATTATTTGTGTCCAGTGTCTCAGCTTACTTTCCAGATCATTGTACAACTGTTGTGTTTCCTTACAAGAAAAATAATTAATCTTCTAACTAGACACTTAACTGAGCTGAGATTGCCACTTACATACACAAGTGTGCTGTTTTGAGTTCAGCAAAGTAGATATGAAGTGGCTACAAGCATAAGAGTGCCTGACAGAATTACTTTTTCTTTGGTAGGGGCATAGAAATGTGGATTTTTCAATGGATATTCAGAATAAATAATCTAAATGTTTCTGTTAGAAGTGTTTGGCCTAGTGGTTAGAGTATTGAGATATCGTGCGGAAGACCAGGGCTTGATCTTCAATAAGGGAGGAAGATTTTTCTGTTAGGGGCAACAACCATAAATCCTAACCTGCACAGTTCATGGCAGCTGCACTGGCCATGAGGCCTTAAATCCTCAGACTCAGAGAGCCTCCATCCCCCTGCCCTACCCTGCCATATAAGTAGCTAATACAGCAGTAGAGACGGTAGACAACTTTAAAAAAAAATGAAATTCAAGGGTATCAGCTGCCCTTATGAATTCCTGGGGCCCCAGTGTGAGGAGAAAATTAATAGCCTCCAACATGCATGCTGTAAAAGTTAACTGATTAGGGGTGTTTCCTTTGAAACTGCCTGAGAGACAAGGAAGCAACAGGCTGCATAAATTAAGCCAGATATGTAAAACAGATGTGCACACAAAACTCAAGTTCCAGAACAAGACTAAAGTATAGAAGTGGACATATAACCAGAACTTTTCACTGGAGTTTACAGCCAGAGAGCGTGAAGGAGAAGAGGGTATAAATACACTAGCAGATACATGCAGTTGGAGATTACAGGATATATAGAGAAGCATGACTTCCCTTGCCAGTAGGGAAGGCTTTGATGATAAAAGGGTTAATTTTTTGGGAGATAGAAAAGTAACAAGAGAGGAATTTATAGACAGCCTTTCATCGTGGCATGAAAAAAGCACATGAATTGATACATTCAGTTTGAGAAAGGGAATAAAAGCTATAAAAATTCCCTCCTAAAATGCATAAGTATATCGTGCACAGTTGGTAAACTAGTGAAAGATATGTGGGAGCTTTGGAGATGTGGTTTTATAGATAAATGATGAGATAACCCTGGACAGATAGCAAGAGTAATGATGTCCTGAAAGAAACTCATGAAGAGAACTGATAGCCCACATCAGAAAGAGACGATCTACTTTCTTTAGTCATGTGATGAGAAGGTGAAATCTGCAGACATCATGAGGGTGGGGAAAGTTGGAGGGGATGAGAGGCAGAGGCAGACAGAGAGAGAGAAGATGCTGGGTAGTTTGACATCATGGCATGGAAAATCGTATGTGTCGGAGTTGATTGAAAGTACACATGACAGAAGGTTGTGTATAGACATGACTACCAACGCCACACAGCATGGACTTTAAGAAGAAAAACTGTCTGATGTGGTACATATGATGTGATTGTGTAGAGTAAACAGCAGTGATGACTATTATGTTTATAAAATATTCTGATATTTTCATTGAGTTAAGATCCACATCATAGCACTTGGGACATTCTCGTAAGTGCTGTGTCCCCATAGTCAGCAACCTGGATACCTAAGTATTTAGCAGCACCTTGAAAAAAAAAAAAAAAGACACCAAAAGGATTTTTTTGGAGGGGCTAATAATTACTTTAATACTTTCTTTCAGAATCCTTGTGATTACAGTCGTCATATGAGTATATGGCCAGCAAACAAAACTTGTGATAAATTACCGGATTTCATAATTGTGGGTCCTCAGAAAACAGGTACGCTTTGTCTTGTTTGTTTTTCTGTTTGAACCCATAGACTCTTCAATGATATTAACGTTTTTGCTTCTTCAGAATTCCAGGTCTTTAAGGGTCATTGGTGAAGATATCAACCAAGTGATGTTTTTTGCCACTCCTGAGTGTTCTTAAGCTTGCATTGATGGGGGAGAGCTTGTTTCTCAAGTGTCTCTGAGAGATATGCTGGCGGTAGCCTAGCTACCAGCATGCCCTCCTAAGCTGAACAGGATAAAAGGTAGAGAACGGACTTGAAGAGACACCCAGGCTCTCAAGGTTTGGGATTGAAATGGGGAGCCGAACCCAACCTCCTTTCATCCCAAAAATTGTATGCTGAATTATACAGAACAATTTTAAAATTGTTGTACTGTCATGTCCCAGTGTGGATTCTTAGGCCGCGATGGGGGTAAGACAAGAATAGATTCACTGCTTCTCCAACAGGCATGTTGTGTGAGTCGACCTATTTGGGGTTTCTTCTAAGTTGAAGTGCGTGTGCCTGAGAGGCAAGAACCCAACAGTCTGCATAAAATAAGCCACATGTATAAAATGGACATGCACGCAGCACTCGAGTTCTCAAACAATACTAAAGTCAAGAGATGGACCAACAATCAGAACTTTCTGCTGGAGTTTGCAACGAGTGAATGCAAAGAAGAAGAAAGAAGACATTTTAACATCTGCTTGCATGTTTTCATATTCTTAAAAGTTGTCTGTTACATTTCAGGAACCACAGCTCTTCACTCATTCTTGTCTCAGCACCCGTCTATTGTCAGCAGCTTTGCCAACCCAAAGACATTCGAAGAAATTCAGTTCTTCAATTCCAACAATTACTTCCAAGGCTTGGACTGGTAAGTTTCTTATGTTTGCTGAGGGAATTCTAATAGAAATGCTGAAAATTGTTTGTTTTATAATATGCAGAAATTTTACAGCCTTACAAAAATAATTCAAGTTTGTGTATTAGTGGAATCCAGATAGAAAAGGAGATAGAAGACATAATACACAAACAAAATTTAAAATCAGATTAATATTAAGCAGAGATGGAAAGAGTAGTAGGGGATGGCAAAAGTGCAGGATGAATTGGAGCAGTGTTTCCCAACTATTTTGACTGACAGCGCCTATAAAAGAAAACTAGTAACCATGGAAATGGGTTTTCTGAGAAAGACTGTAGGAGTGACCAGAAGAGGTAAAAATTAGGCAAGTTTGTACGAGATAAAGTCGGCACAGAACCATTTCTAAATTACATACAAAGACAGCAGATCAAATGGTTTCTCCACTTGGAGAGAATGCCTTCTGAAGCTATACCATACAAGGCATATACTAAAAGAGGAGAGGGACATAGAGCAAGAGGTAGACCAAGAACAAGATGGGAAGATAACATCAGAGAATACAGCACCACGTTGTGTCTGGTCGAAGCAGCCAGAAGAGCACGAAGCAGGACCGTATATCTCCCTCGACACCCAAAGTGGTAAAAGAGGACGTAAAGAAGAAGAAGAGGAAGAAGTGCCCAGTTTGGAATTAGATTTCTTTGATGCAGCCCCTTAGCTACTTTTTTGTTTTTAAATCTTTAATTTCATTTAGTTTTTTAAAATTTTCCTGGAGCAGCACAGAACCCATGGGGAGAGCACCTGTTAGGAACTGCTGACTTAGAGGATAAAGGACAGGACAGGATATTTAAGTTAGTCATGTGGAAGGGATATATATTCTGTTAATCTTTTTATCTGTCTGCAACTTGACAGTGACTGTTTGGCAGATGAAGGTATTTTTACAGCCAGATGGTCTTTATTACTATATTAAGTCTGGGCACAGTACTTTTGTCAGCATGATTTTAATTTTGGCTCTAGCTCTCTGCACCTTGGACATAATATTTAACTGTAACTTAAATGAATATGGCTGGCTCATCAAAAGAATTTAGGAGACAGATGAATCATATGAAGAAGAAACCGAGGAAGCTGCAAGACACAGCAAAGTATATGAATACTTGACAGGAGTTGTCTGAGTGAGGTTTTTTTTTTTAATCAACGGAAGATAAAGGACCCAAGTTGTCCTTATCTTCAGTGCCATGTTCTGGCCCAGCCCGGACTTCAGGTTGCTTTATAACCATTGGAGGCCCTAATAAATGCTGTGTGGTTAAATGGGACCTCTAGTATTTGTACAGGTAGGATTCTTATCCTTGAAATGTTAATTTTTCAACTGCAGTCCAGGAGAAAATATACCACGTTACTTAGTCGACCCTCTTCTGCTTTGGGAGATTGAGGATGGCCAGAGTGCTAGACTTCTCCATCAGCAGTTTTCTTTTTACTTTTTGTTTCATTCCAGTCCTCTGTCAGACAGGGACTGTCGGATATCCTAACGAACCATGTGTCATTCTGGTGATCTGGTTCCCTGGTTCTTGGCCTCCCATGCCTGCCGCGGTGGCCAGTTATGTCCCATTCATACATGTGCAAACCATCAGAAACTATAGAAAAACTGTGACTTATGACAAACAACCTTTTCCTCAGTATTCCACAATGTTCATGAAAAATATGGTTGTTTTTCTCTCCATAATTATGTCCATTTTTCTTTTTTCATTCTTACATATGAGACATGTTTTTATCTTTTAGTATGTTCATCATTACCTGTGAGACATGTATTATCTATGTTCATTTCATATGAGACATTTTTAGTAACTTTTTTGTGTGTTAATCAATAGTTATGAGACATGTTTAGTATCTTTTTGTATGTTAGACATTACATATGAGGCGTATTTAGTATCTATTTTTGTGTGTTACTCATCACATGTGAAGAGCGGCTGCCTGAACACTTAAGAACACTGAGTCTCATGCAGGAGACTCATCTTTGAATTCTTGGTAATGTTGTGGATTTTTTCTGTTGGGGGCAAAAATGACATCCCAACCCACACAGTCCATGCCAACAGTCCATAGCCATGCGGCTATAAATCCTTTGGCTCAACATAGACCACTGCCTACACAGCAAGAGTGGTAAATAGGGGCAGTTTAATTATCGCATATGAGGCATATTTAGTATCTTGTTTTGTATGTTAATCATTACATTTTAGACATGTTTAGAAACTTGTATGTTCACCAGGTATGTGGAGTTTTAGACATGTTTAGAAACTTGTATGTCCACTAGGTATATGGAATTTTTAGACATGTTTAAAAACTTGTATGTCCACCAGGTATATGGAGTTCTTCCCAAGGCCCGTGAAGCCCAATATGACACTGTTGTTTGAGAAAAGTGCCAACTATTTTGAAAGTGAGGTTGTGCCAAGACGAATTGCTGCCCTCCTACCTAGAGCCAAAATTGTGGTTATATTAATGAACCCTGCAAAAAGAGCTTATTCTTGGTATCAGGTAATTTTTATTTCTATCTTTCATAAAAATAACCTTAGTCGATCATGTTTTGCCATCCCACACTATCAGCATGATTGTGAATATGGCCTGTCTCCTTTGCCTTACCTATGTCTTGTCACCATGCCGTCTGGGTATTCATCGATTTGTCTTAACTTTGCCATTTTTTCTATAATGCTTTCCAGTTGTTACTAAGTTCTCAAGTTTATTTCTCTGTATAGCATGTCCAAGAGATTCTGACTGTCTATGACTAATTTAGTTAAGGTTTTAATCTCTTTCTCAAAAGATTGCCTCATTTTTTGTATTTCTGTCAGTCATTGGCACTGTTTACTTTTTTCTCAGAAATCACATTTCTGCTACCATAATGAATGGTTTTCAGCTTTTTCTTTAGAGGGTTTCCCACAATTGATAATGCAGCTTAATTTCTGCAAGTGGACATCTGAGGAATTTCATGAGACTAGTGTGTGAAGTTTCTCAGTGTGTCTTTTTCTTCTTCAGCAATATCTGGTCATGCACTTAATCCACTGGGGTGTCATCTCAAGGTCTCTTCAGGTTTCCCCAAACTTAGTTGTCAGGTCAGGAGATGTGGCCACATGTTGATTCGCAGCTTCGCCAGGAGCTTACTTTAAAAAAATGCACGATACTATACATTAACTTTGCATGCAGGAAATATTGCAGAAGATTCAACAAGGTTTTAATTTATTGTCACTTTCTTTGGATATGGATATCCCATTAAATGCTCCATGTTTTTAATATGTGTGTAGTAACATCTCGACCCACACAAAACAATGTCCACAGTCATCCTAGAAAAAGGCCTGACGTCTTCCCTCGAAGTCAGAGTACATCTGCCCGTGAGGCAGGGAACGGCAAAAGCCAGTAAAATGATTGTACACGCAAAACTCAGGTCCAGGTAAAAGCCAAAAGTTCATGCGGACGATTAACCGGGACTTTACGCTGGAATTCACAGCCGGTGAATGAAGAAGAAGAAGTAGATAAGATGTGTATCTTTTGAGCTTGAATGGAATTTTCTTCTTCATTTGTGAGAATAGGCTTTATGTGCTAATCGGCACATTTAAACAGATGATAGGTAGCTGAGCCATGGCACACTCGCTTGCTTGTTATGCTATGATGAATGTGATAGGTAGCTGAGCCATGGCACACTCAGTCGCTTGTTATGCTATGATGAATGTAAAGTCTCAGGCTGTCAGTGGCCTGTTCAATTAATCCATCTTCTTCTATAGTCCATCCCAAAAGTTGTGCCCTCAAACTTAAAATAGCTAGCTCAAAAACATCTGTACGGATCTGTACACATTTTTGCATGTATTCTTAGATTTCCTATATCCTTATGATTAGTGTAAAATAAGGTAATTTAATGCTTTGAATCAGTGTCTCTTTTTTAATATACTGCAAATAAGGCATAACAAAAACTGGATGTTTGTCTACATTATCATTATTTTCTTACAAGGAAATGATTATTGAAAGGTTGCTTGCCAAATTTCAGCAATTTACAGTGAGTGGTTACTGAGTTATAGATGTTTACATCTTGACATGACATTTAACATGGACTATAAGTCTCCCTCCATCTCTTGGTGTTTCCATTCTCCTGTTGTACACTCTGGCTGTTGGCATTGTTGGATTAATTCTCACTAGGTGGCTAAATCGCTTGTCTTTGTTTCTCTTACTACTTAGTCGCTCCTCTTCTACCTTGGGGTGTAGAGGTTTGCCAGAGAGATCGCTAGACATCTCTATCAGCAGTTTTCTTCCTGGCTTTGTTCCATTCCAGTCCTCTGTCAGTCAGGGACTGTCGGATGTTGTCCGTCTTTGTTTCTCAGTAACATAATTTTACATATGTGAATCTACGTATTCTCCTCTGAAATCCGTTATGTCATACTAAACACTGTGTAGTGACTGCCTGAACTAGTGAACATTATTTCCCCACTTTGTCATTAAAAAGAGCATAATTTGACTGCCCTGGAATACACACACACACACACACAAATGCTGTCATTCTTCAAGATCTGAACATCAGTGAAGACTTGCTCATAATCAGAGTCACGTCTCAGAAACTGAAATACTTCAGCCATATTTAACTTCTCATTGCACAGTTATTCTTCTTCTTCGTGTTCACCAGCAGAAAGTTCTGGTTGTCCGTCCACTTCTGGACTTTGGTATTTTCCCAGAATTTGAGCTCTGCCTGCACATCTTGTGTTTACAGATTTGACTTATTTGTATTCACACTGGGTTCTGGGGCAAATGTACTCCGACTTCGAAGGACCCCCCAGCCCTAAATTAATCGCCATTTATGACATGCTTGTTGGGGGCAGTGGGTCTGTTCTTTTGCCCCTTCAGCAAATGATTTATGACAATTCCCATCCAGGTAATGTCATTATCTATACAAATGGATCTGTGTTGAGAGGAGATAAAGTGCATGGGTGTTCATAGCAAAAGCTAATGGATGTCGCTTAGTGGAGCTAAGCCTGACAAATGATATTACAACATCTAGTTTGAGAATGGAGGTTGAGGCAGTCACAGCCGCCTCCACTGGCTTGAGAATCATGTCGTAATTTTAACTGACTCCCAGAGCATGTTGAGAAAGGTGGAGACAGGTGTGCTCCGTGCAGAGTGGCAAGCATTGCTTCATGGGTCCCGGGTAGTGTTCTTTTAATATTTTCTCCAGGTAATGCCGGTGTGTTGGGGTTCGAGCAGGCAGATAGACTGGCTGATTCTGCACTACTTGGTGGTGAATTGATATATTACAAGCTAATTGTTGTGAGGGCCCTTTGGGAGCGAATGAACAATGTGGAGGCAGAATAGATCATTATGGGGCTGGGAGAAGTTACCTGGGGATCTGGCTAATGCTCAACACTCAAAGGAAATATGAGATGGATATACAATCAGTTACTGGTGCCATCAGAGTTGGAACACATCACTTGGTGCTGAAGATTGGGATGGAGTGCTAATGGGATTGTCCAGAAGGCTGTGATATTGATTCTTAATTCAACATTGGAACAAGACTAAGATCTAGAAATGGATGAACAGCCAGAATTTTCTGCTAGAATTTACAGCCAGTGAACACGCAGAAGAAGATTACCTGGTACTCTTTAAAAAAATAATTGTAATGCTTGGTCGACCTGCAAGCCACCGTCAGTTTCGAAAAAATGTGCCTTGATGTGGATGTGATGTTCAAGATTAGTTATGACTGTAATAACGATCATTACATGACTCTATTCTCTAGCAATTATCTTTTCTACCTCCAGCATATGAGAAGTCATAATGACCCCACAGCTTTAAACCACACTTTCCTTGAAGTGATCTCTGCAACAGACATGGCCAGCCCAGGCCTGAGGTCACTGAGAAACCGTTGTCTGACCCCAGGTCTTTATGCACAGCATCTGCTCAGATGGCTAGATTTTTTCCCAGCTAAACAGGTAAGATGTGAAGAAAGAACATGATGGGGGCATACACAACAGAAGCCTATTGATCACAAGTAGAGGTCCCCTATCAAGTGTTTCGGCCCCTCGTATATAATGTCTGTGGCAGGGCTGTTCAGCTAAGTTTACTCATGGGCCAGAGTGTTGAAAAATAAAGGTCATTGCGGGCCACTAAGTTTGGACTGAGCTCCAGCAGAGAAAGATCACTTATACAGTCTTAGTCTTTAGTCTTAGTCAAGATTTCAACATCACTGCAGTCGGGTTTTCCCATTCCTGTACCAGTGCAAATCAAATGAAATGTCCCTCATTGTTGCAACTGAAAAACTAGTGAACAGACAACTAATTTCAGAACAGTCCAGAAATATGCGCGCGCAGTAAATGCATATTTCGGTTGCTGGAGGTGCCAAAGCCAACAATCGCCACCAGAAATGTAGTTTATCGTTGATGGAAGTAGTACTTATACAATACAGTTGGCAATGATTTGCAAGCCAACTGTTTGGCTTCGGGGGACCAGATTTGGCCCACAGGCTGCCAGTTGAATAGCCATGATCTGTGGTGTATTTGTTACCACCATCATATGTTTTTGCGGCTTCTAGAGTGAGGTAGTTGGGCCTGGCATTTATAAAACACATATGCACACAAAAATCAAGTTCTGGAACAAGACTAAAGTCCAGATGTGGACAAACAACTAGAAATTTTCATTGTGAACTGGAAGAAGACAAAAATTGGATTAATTCAGGAAAGGCGAAGAAATAAGAAAAATGCCTGGACAGTCGCTAGTATCAGAGTTATAGCATAAAGAACATATTAGTATATTAGACACATCATCGTAAAGTCTGGGAGACCGAAGAAATACCAGCAGACTGGAGAGAAGGATATCTTGTGAAAATGCCCAAAAAAGGTGATCTACAGAAGTGTGAAAACTATAGAGGAATTATGTTGCTGTCAGTTCCTGGAAAAATATTAAGTAGAATTATTTTGGAAAGATTAAAAGATGCTATTGATAAAATGCTAAGAGATGAGCCGGCAGGTTTTCGGTCAAACAGATCCTGTACTGATCAGATAGCCACATTACGTATTATAATAGAGCAAAGCATTGAACTGAACTCACCACTTTACATTGGATTTATAGACTATGAAAAAGCATTTGACAGCATTGATAGGGAATCTCTCTGGAAATTGATGAGGCACTATGGAATCCCACAGAAAATTATCAACTTAGTAAAGGCAACATATAAAGACATGAAATGTCGAGTTCTTCATGAGGGAAAGCTAACAGATGCATTTGAAATAAAAACAGGTGTGCGACAGGGATGTCTTTTGTCACAACTCTTATTTTTACTGGCTATAGACTGGACTATGAAAACAGTAACTGCTAACACCAAGCATGGACCCCTACAAAACAGCTTGATGATCTGAACTTCGCTGATAATATTGCTCTTCTGTCCCATTCACGGAATCAGATGCAAGATAAATTAAATATACTTAATGCGAGATCACAGCAGCTTGGTCTGAAAATCCATAAAGGAAAGACAAAGATAATGAGAATAAATCAGACAAAGAGTAATGTGGTTTCTCTTAATGGCACCCCACTCCAAGACGTGGAGTCGTACACCTATTTAGGCAGTAATGTAGATAAAGATGGAGGAACTGATAGAGATATTAAAATAAGAATACAAAAGGCAAGAGGGGCTTTCATTGCACTAGGGAATTTGTGGAGGTCAAAAGAAATTAAAAGAAATACTAAACTAAAAATTTTTAATTCTAATGTCAAATCAGTACTATTGTATGGGGTGGAAACATGGAGAACAACCAAGGCAATTACTAATAAATTACAGACATTCATTAACTGGTGCCTGCGCAAAATAGAGGGAATAAAATGGTATGATAGAATGACTAATGTAGAACTTTGGGAGAGAACTAAGCAGGCTCCAGTGGATCAGGAAGTGAGGAAAAGACGCTGGCATTGGATAGGGCACACACTGAGAAAACAGGAGAACAGCATAACTAGAATGTCTTTGCATTGGAACCCACAGGGGCATAGGAATAAAGGAAGGCCAAAAAACACATGGAGAAGAGAGCTGGAGAACGAGGTTAAAAAGATTTGGAGGACATGGGGAGAGCTCCATGCAATGTCGAAAGATAGAACGACTTGGCGTGAGTTGGTTGAGGGCCTATGCTCCATTGGGGGATAGAAAGGCAGAAGAAGAAGAAGACACATCATCAGGAGAAGCAGACAGGGCCTCACTAAACAGACATTGAAATGGGAATCAAATGGATTGAGGAAATGAGGACGTCCGAGAGAAACTGTAAGAAGAACATAGTGGAGAGAGGCCAGAGGTGCTGAACTAGAATCAGTCAGGGCCCTTGAGCCTGAGAATGTATGGCCTCATGGCTAGTGCACTCACCATGAACTGTGCAGGCTGGGATTGTTATTTTTGCCTCAGGCAGAAAAATAGTCAGCACCTCTGCATCACTTAAAGGTTTGGATTTAGTTTTATAAGTAAAGTAAGTAAAGATCTCTTTTCACACCATTAGGCGTATTTGATATATGGGAAGAGCACCCATATTTTTACAGACCAATCGGCACAAGGTGGGTAATGAGGTTAGTATTACGCCGGCCATCTTTACTTCCCCAGGACAGCCATCCTGGTACCCAATTTAGCTGGCTCGACCCGCAACGCCCCATACCATGATAAAAATCCACGCAGCCAGCAGTGGGTTTCGATCGCGGATTTAGTTATATGCTTGATATAATCTGACGTCTAAGTGATGTGATTTCATTTACAGGTGAGGTAATGTTATTTACAAGTCTGCTTTAATTTGACATACGTTTCTAGATTCACATTGTGCACAGCGATGAACTCCGCAATGATCCAATCAATGTGATGCACTACCTGCAGAAGTTCCTTCATGTGCAGCCGATCATAGACTACAGCCAACATCTCAGGTTAGTTGTGTTGACAGTATGATTCACCTTGTTACTGTCCTCTCCTGGAGGAGCTGCGAAGCAACATGTGGCCACATCCAGTAGACCTGACAGTTAAGCTTTGAAGAACCTAAGAGATGACATCCCAGTTTATGGATTAGGTGCATCAGAGATCACTAAAGAAGAAGAAGATTCGCCTTATTTCCTGGGTGGGTTTCAGGTCCTCGTGTTAGGGGAACTAACAACCCCCACTCCTCACCTCCTCCTCTACCCCTTCCCCCTAAATAAAAAGACCTACTATGCTCTTTAACAGTATGTTGTATAAGGCAATCTGAAATTGGATATGCTGGGCCGAAAGGTACAGATATCACAGCATAGCTGTAAATCACAACAGTTTGCCAACCATTCCTTTAAGTGCAAACCCAGAAGAAGAAGATTGTAAATAATAAACTTGATATAACTCGACATGTTGGGGGGTTAATCCAAGGATTTCCATTGCATAGTGGGCATTTTTGAATTGGGGTTATAGTAGTGATTCCAAGTTCCTTCAGAATTGGAGTGCATCTACCTGAGAGGCACACAAATAAGCCAGGTCTGTAAAACAGATGTGCACGCAAAACTCAAAAGTGCTGGAACAAGGCCACAGTCCAGAAGTGGACAAGTGAGGACTTTCTGCTGGAGTTTGCAGCAGGCGATTTAAAGAAGAAGAAGAAGAAGAAGTAAATCCAAGTCTCATATACAGTCACCGTGGTTATAAAAATGTTGTAAATTATAAATTTACTCTCATTTGCTTCTGTTCTTATGTCAGAGAAGCCACAGAACTTGGTACATATTTTTCTCTTGTTCGGTCTGTAAAATTCTATCCACTGTTCTTTGTTTTACTGCACTACTGCACCACAGTTGTCCTTTTTCTGATCATTCACTGATTTTCTTCACTTTTGCCTGATCCACTATGGTTGGTCTCTCAGAACTGGCATTTGAAAGAGGATTTATTCAACAGGAGTAACAGAAATTATAATGTTTCCGTTCTCAGATAATGAAAAGCCCTGTGTGGCTTTTAGGGCCCTATGGTGTGGAAAACAAGAATAGACCCACTGTCTCCCCAACAAGCATGTTGTAGGTGTTAAATAATTGGGGGCTTCCTTTGAAGTCAGAGTGCTTCTGCCCCAAGCGGCAAGGCACAACCAGCTGCACACAAATAAACTAGTAAAACTGTTGTGCACGCAAAATTCAGGCACTGGCGCAAAGACAAAGTTCACATGGATGAACAACCAGGACTTTCTGCCAGAGCGTAAAACCGATGAATAAAGAAGACGACGACGAGATAATGAAAAATATTTCAGAACTCTTAGTGTAACTCAGTGGCTGTTTATTTAGGAGAAAGTTTATTTGTGCAAGAAAATAAACTTGCTTTGTGGCTTAGAGTTTAGTGATCCTCAAGTAAATAGGTTTGATGTCTGTAGTGGATAGTTCAATCTTTCTCATGGTTTTTGGACAGTAGTACGAGAATCACACCGTTGAAGAGAATGGGTCCTCAGCCCATAATATTCCCAAAGATGCACAGAAGCCAACATTCATTATGCAGGATGCACAGAAGTTGTTTTTCCCCACTTTTTTTTTAAAATGAAAATTTGACAGCCTGCATGATTAATTCCAGATGGAGTAGTTGGCATTCAGAAGAATACCTCACAAGTTTTCCGAAAGCAAAGAAGCACCAAACACAAATAATTTAAATAGATGCAATCTTCCGAGAGACACACTCTGAATTTAGTAAAAGTTGTCCCATGGCAGATATTTTTGAGATAGGAAGTTTTAACCCTTTACATATTCTAGGGCATATTAAGGCGATAATCTTCTTTCTTCTTTTGTCATCTCATTAATACCAAGTTGTAGCCCCCATGTCATAGTTTTCTGTATTTGTCTTGCACTTCTTGAATGGCTTGGGTGATAGATTTGTTTATCTTTTTTTGCAGGTTTCAGCTATGCCATTTCCATCTCTTTCTTAGTCTTCCCATTGCCTGTCTGCCATATGTTCTACTGTAAAAAAAAAAATTGATCTTATTGAAGGTGATAGTCAGCTTCCTGTATTTGGGGGGGGGGGGGGGGGGGGGGGGTCGCCTTTCTGCACAGTTTATAGAAAATTATCTGAGAATTATCTTGTAGGCATTTTATTAGGCTATGCCAAACCTGGAGCAGTAATGCTTGGAAAAATGAAGCCCACCAACTTCTAGGGATTCAGCTTTGGTATCAAAATTATAAGATAAGTTTTGTGACGATATATCCTGAGTAGAAGTTGGCGGGGCTTCACCAAACAGGCTATAAGTGAAGAAGTTGGGACTTCTAAAAAAACAGTTCTGTGATGAATGATATAGGCCACAAATGCTGAACTGGATTCCATCCATTAGTTAGTTATCTTTCCTCTTGAGCCTTAGACGACGCATAGGGCAGAGGTCGTAGCTATCCATGCCTGGTGGTTCGTTGGAGGCAGAGGCTCCAGAATGGCTTCAAAATGAGCTGAAAGAAGGTGATATCAAAGACTAAATGTGCTGTGGTTATCGATTCTGAAAACTCGTGAAAGCTCCAGTATATGCTCACTGGTAAAATTCTGGCGTATCCAATCACAGTGGAATAGACAGTGCCGTGAGTTGTATTCATATATGACAGTTATTGTATACATTACACTACAGGTTCAGATATGACAGTTATTGAATACATTACACTACCGGTTCATGAACAGAGAGGATATGTTGTTGTTCTTTTTGTGTGCGAGTCTGATATAAAGAATTTAAAATTCCCTGTAATGTGACCAATACAAGATTCTGACCAGTATTCTTTATCCTGACAGAAGGAGGCGTCATTGAGACCTGAAGTTTAAATTATTATAGTGTTTAATCCTCTTCAATGTAGCCACCAACTCTGTTTCATCGGTTCAAATCCGAATAGAGCTAGACTTTTTTTTTTTTATTTAAATGAAAACCAGGTGAAGTCCTGGAAAGCAAAGGTGGCCATATCATCCATCAAGTGCTGATTGGTCATAATGCAGCTGTGTTCATATATAATTCAGATTACTTCAATGAAGTTGATCAGACTGTAGAGTTTCTGAAGGTCATGAGTTCAAATCTGAATGGAGCCAGACTTTTGTTATTTTTAAAATGGCCTTGGCTCCCCGGTCGACCCAGCCTTAAATGGGCGCCAGGTAAAGTCCTGAGACATAAAGGTGGCCAGTGTGATGTTGATTGACCACATCACCCATCGAATGCTGACTGGTTTATATAATAAAGGTTTAGCACTATGTGCACAATATCCCTAAAGGCGTGGAAAGGGGTGCTTTACTCTACTTTACCACTACGTTGACAAACAAACATGCTGCTGACAGAAATTTCATTTGCTGACTGTCACTGTGGATATGTAGATATAATCTGTGTGACTCCTGTTGGATTGTAGTCATTTGTCGTGTCCTCTCATTTTCTCATGAATCATTTTTGTGACCACTGATTTGTTGCCACATCTGCTTGCCAGGAAAGCTTGTTAAGCACATTATATAACAGATTTAACTCTTTTGGTCCCATAAGGTTTTGTACAAAAATCAATATTGTTTTAATTAAATATTGCCTTGAACCACTTGCTGTGTTGTAGGAATGAAAAATGAAAGAAAGATGCCTCTGTGGTTGCCAGATTTATTTAGTATACTATACACTGATCAAAACTTAAATAAAAGAAAACACTTGGTGTGATGTTTGAGACATGTGGGGAATAGTCAGTAAAACATAATGCCTTGTTTGGGACTGAAAGAATTAAAAGGTGGGATAAGAAACTGACATTCCAGGCATTATCATGATCGTATTGTTGTGTCATAATACATCACAGGTAGCACATGTCTACTTCTTCATTCTGTGTTATTATTTTGACATCATCGTCTCTCAGCAACGTTCATTGTAAGGTTTATCTTCCACATCTGTGTTTCCTTAGTCTGTTTCCCATTTCACTGCCTGTTTGGTGATTCCAGTGTTGCATCACCTTTTTTTTTGTCTAACTGTTGATACTAATGATTGTCCATACATTTCTTTTTACTCCTCCACTTTAAAAAAATTCATCCTATTTAATTTATGTTGATTTATTCATTCATTATTTAATATATCTCCAGGCTTTATAGTTTCAGATTAATCCAGTTATTGACGTTTTCTCTTTATTAACCCCATATTTTCCTGGGTGCAGACAGTTTGCGATGATTCCTAATATATTTCACATGTGACAGGCTTTACAGCATCTTACTCCATGTTTGCCTGTTTGGTTTTTGTTTAGTTGATGAAGAGATGTGTAATTCCTGTAGTTAACAAAACAAACTGCATATTAATTATCATGATAGTCAGCTGTTTGCTTGTGGGTTGTATCGGTGTAAACGACAAACAAACCAACAAACAAAAGCTATAAGTACTGTAAAACTAACATAATATATTGTTGGCACTATGCCAGTTACCTAAGTGATAAATACTTGTTTCGAGGAAAATCAGAATTATAAAACCATTTTGAAACTGACTTTATAACCAAAACAGAAAAAAACCAAGTTGAGAACAAGACTATTAATCTTCATTGCTCAACATAAAAGTTGCCTAGTAAAACCACAAGCAACCAGTGAATGCTGGAACCTAAACCTGAAAAAGGATTACTGATTAATTTAGGAAGTCAGGATATGAATACATGATGGCATTTAGAGGTGGTTTTCTTTTGAGCTAAATGGCCCCTATTTTAAAGCCAAGTTGACATAGTTTCCCATAAGGCTCAGTGATTGAGGTCACAGGGTCTTGACCTGAGTCACCAGATGTTGTTTTTCTTAGGGGGTTATATTCCATTTAAAGCTTCATGTTTATTGATTACTCCTTACAGGTGTCTTATATTTTGGAGAAAGAAAATTTAAAATATAGGTTAATACATGTGTAACAAATTTATTAGTGACCTTTATATATAATAAAACAAATTTTACTGAATTTTTTTTCTGGAATTCTGACATGTTTATGGTCTTTTTTT